CATATAAATGGTTCTTTGCTTCCAGAAAATAATTACATCTACTGAATTTTGTTGGAATTACATTAAAATTGTTATGCTATGGCATTTTAAATAATTCTATTTTTTAAAACATATCTAACTGTCTGTTTAAGCTCAAGGCAGATCTGGGGACTTGGAACTCAGTGTCCCTCGGCCAGTTAGAATAATAAAGACTTCCCTTCGTCTCCTTGGTGCCTGTGTGTCTTCCGCCTGATTCACTCCTGGTTTTTCCTCAACAATTTCATTTGAATATGTTTGTAAATGTCAAGAGTGAAGATGAAAATATCCTTACAAAGATTTTAAACAACAACTCTACATAAATTGTAGAAATACAGTCATACAATGTCCAATACCTAAGGACAGCTATCAAGAATATGATCATCTGGATTTTCCCAGATACTTAGAAGTGTATGTAAACAACATGAAACTCATAACTGGTATTTCTTTAAAATTGTGCCTTGACTAGAAAATCACCTTCAGAGACTCTCCAGACATAAATAAATGTTTAATGAATCTTATACCTTATTCTACATGACAATTGATAACCAAAATCTGAACAAGAAAAATTTGTAACTAAGTCCCCATTAGGATTTTATATCCCAATCTCACACCGAATGCTGCTTTAAAGATGCAGCCAGCATAGCTGAGGAGAGAGCAAATGGCTGGTCGTATGTATAGGCCGACAGGAATGGAGAGATTTCACATGACTGGAACTGGATAGCACAGTCATCCATCACGGTCTTGTCAGCTCGTGGGCCATGCACGAGGTTTGTTCTTTCCTCTCCTGGTCCTCCAGCTCTTGGCAGGGTTAATACTCATACCACCTCCTCTGGGAAGCCCTTCCTACTCGCACATTGTGTTTGCACCCCATCCCCGCGCCATCCTCTATACCAACAACATGATCTATTTTATTAAAATACCTATGTAAATGTTAAAGTGTTTTGGGGGGAGGGGCTTTCATCTCTTTTTCCCCTACAGAGAGATAAGGCCATGAATTCAGGGAAGGACACGAAGTTTGAAAGAAAAGCCCTCCCATAGGAACACATTTCCTGGGTAGGCTGACCACCAGCTGTACTTCCCACAGTACACTGAGGGGGCTGATAGACAGAGGTGCTCAGGGAATCACGTAGACAAGGTTCCCGCACTGGAAGCCACTGATGACAGTATTTCCAGGCTGAACTCTGAGAGACTGATACAGGCCTCAGCTCCGGATGACGAAAGACATTGTTGCCACTCAAGTAGCATGATGGATGACTATGCCTCCTGAGAATTTTTCTAAGAATTCCTGTGTTGAGACCACTGGCCAGACTAGCCTGCATTGTCCACAGAGTGGAAGTCAATGTGTGAGGCCTCTCTAATAAATGAGCGTAAGATTCTTGTGTCATCTTTTATGTGAGCCAATCTTTTTTTTTTTTTCTGAGATAGGTTCTCACTATGTAGTTCAGATGAGTCTTGAACTCATGCAGCCCAGGCTGGCCTAGAACTCAGTGATCCTCCTGCCTCAGCTTCCTGATTGCTGGGATTACAGGCATGTGCCATTATGCTGGCACAAGCCAAATTTCATTTTGTTTTGCTTTGGGTTTTTTTTTTTTTTTTTTTTGGTACTAGGGATTGAACTCACAACTTCATACTTGCCAAGCAGGCCCTTGGGCTGCTGAGCTAAATCCCCAGCCACTGAGCCAGGTTTTTTGGTGACATTAAAAAGGAAATCAAAATATGCATCTGTTCTAATCCCGTTTGACCTGAGTACATATAAAAGAGACTCCAGTGGTGGACATGTAAGGATATGGCTAGGACTCAGCCACCTTCAGGTCAAAGAAAAAGGACTAAGGAGCAATTCTATAGGCAGCTGTTGCTTGTATTTTATCCCTCAGGCCTATGAGAACATATTTTTTAAGTCAACTCTTTAATATAGTTATCAGAATTAGCAAAACAATACACTATACATTCTTGGAATATGTTTTATTATTTCCTCTAATGTTTTGCAATGTAAATCTTCAATTTACCACAATATACTTGCAACAGTATTTAAGTGATAAAATATAAGAAAATTTCAATGTAATGTTTTCAGTCATTAACTCTAACTACAGCCTTATTCCTATTTAAGTCAAACTCAAGCCCCAACCAAAACCATAACCCTAACCCAAGTGCTTAGATGTACTCACACCCTAACCCCTAATCCTCACTCTCAAAATTATTTTAAATCTCAAACTCTAAGCATCGTCACAAAAGTAATATATTGACTGGGTATGGTGGTATATGCATATAATCTCACCACTCAGAAGGCTATAGAAAGAGGACAGCTGTGAATCTGAGGCCAGCCTGAGCTACATAGTGAGTTCAAAGACAGGCTGAACTACATGGTGAGACCCTGTCTCAAAAAATTAAAGAAACATGCACAGGATAGAGACAGAGTTAAAAATAGAGATAGAAGATATGTAGATATGGATATGGATATGGATATAGATATAGATATATCAACCAATCAGAAAACTTTATAAAGTCCTACCAAGAAACAAAAGGATTATCTCTCTGTGCCGAGGTGGTCAAACACGCAGACAATAGTGGGCACCCCGACCTGTGCCAGTCTGCACTTCTCCCCATGCCTTCTTGTGTTGTGTGCCCTCAGAGAACAGCAGTACTGGGAGTCATTTATTCCTTTCCCCTCTCATATTGCTGGTCAAACTGCTGGCTGGAGTTGTTTGGAATCAGAGTTGCTTGAAGTGAATCACCTTTGTCGCTCACTGTTACAGAGCAGCATGGAATGAGAGTGTACTCTGAAACGATTCATTCAACACCATCCCCAGGGATGGGCTGAGGCTGAGCCCTGGTGCTTATCTGGGTCTGTGGCGCTCTTTGAGAAGCCAACTCAGAGGGTGGGACAACAAACCTCTTCAGTGGAGAAAATCAGCACATTATGTCCTACGTCACAGTTCACATTTCTATCATTTAGCAACATATTCTATACTACTTTATGGTTCAAAATATTGACATCTGTTCCTTTGGTAGTAACACCAATGAGAAGAGGTGGGCCTCGGGAGACTGAGAAAGTGTTGCAATTGCATCTTTCCCAAAAATGGAAGGGCCCCTTGAAGGAGGTGGAAAGTTAGATTTAATAAGCTAAGATAAACATTGGCATTTAAGCAAAGAACTATATCTCCGTTGATAATAAATATGCTCTCTGTGTACTGATTTGCCACATAAAGAAATCAAACTCCACACCTCTACATCACCACCCACTTCAGTTACTTTGACCTTAATGCTAACTTTAATCCTTTAAGAAATGACAACAAATATGATGTCTCTTGTGAGCTTATAAGAAGATGGTTTTTCAGATTTGAAATAGCCTCACTGATGTATTTAGTGAGTTTGGCTTTTTTCCCCCATTCTTTCCCTGGAGAACCCATCAAACATGTAGAACACAGTTTAACTGTGATAGTTATATCTATGCTCACATGAAATCAAAGCAGTGCTTTTGTCTAAAATTGGAGGTCCTGCAATGTGCGAACATAGCTTGTCACAGGCTGGAAACTGAGGGGAATCAAGGCAAGCAGGCCCTGTAACAGGGGCAGGGCTAGACAGGTGAGTGGCAGGTGAGGACCAGGACCATCAAAGTCAGTTGGGCCACTGCAGACAGGGCCTGTGGGCTGTCTTTGTCTCAGATTCGTCCCCTGGGAGTCCAAGAAGAAGCAGGGAGCTTCAGGATCAGATGTATGGGCCAACCCTGGGTTAGGGGACGGGTCGGCAGGATCAGGCAGCTGGATTTCTACAAGTCGTGCAATGATGCCTTTCCTTCCGGAGCCTCTGCATGCAGCCTTCTGCAGCCCAAGTGTGCAAGGAGGTGCTCTCTGCACATGCCTCGCCTGGCACCCCACCTCAAGGCAGTACAGAGAAGGGAGCTCCTCTGGTACTCAAGTACACAGTCCTGCAGCCCCTGTGAAGGCATTTCAAAATAGGTTTGACTCAAGAAGGGCAAGTTACAAGACATCTCACCTTGGTATGTGCATTAACAAGTAAGAAGGTGTGGTAGCCTCTCAGTTCTCCTGATCTCTGACCTTACTTGATATTAGACACACTCATTAGAGAAGATTCACCTGGGTGCCCTCAGGACCACAGGAACAAAACCTAGGCCTATCGGGTTTCCATGTTTGCTAGTTGTTGCCATAAAATTCTGACGTACCTAAAAATACCTCAGTTCTTAAAACCTAAATTATTTATATGCTGTCTCAATTCGGAGAGTTCTATGCAGGCCTTGTTTTGTTTTGTTTTGTTTTGTTTTGTTTTGTTTCCGTTTGGTGGCTCAAACAATGCCTCCTCTTAGTTCCTCTTTCTGTAATTATGTCTTACGGCCTTCCACAGCTCTTAAGAAAACACTTCAGAAAATTTTTTCTTCTACCATGGTGACAATAATTTGTCAGGAAAGAGTAAGAAAAGGTTTTTGAAGAACTGGTCTTATGCAACATTACTTTTACTGATTTTTTGAAGTATGAAGTACTCACTCTTCATAAATTTAGCATGCTTTTCCTGAAATGAGGTCACTTGTGTGCTCAGAATGCCCCACTGTCAGTTTCCACGGAAGAACCAATTACCTGACGTAAGAAAACATGATGAGCACAGGCAGGGACAGTAAAATGGAACAGACAGAGCGTTGGCTACTGACAGATCAATATTTCTGAATGAGTCAGCAGACTTCATAGTCATGATTTTCACACTCTCAATCTACTCATTTCCAGCCAACAGGGGCTACTCTGAAAAGCCAGAAGTAAACCGCTTAAATTCAATTACCATTAGGCGGGGTGAGGTTGACATTTTGGGAAACAAACTTGTCCGGAAGTCCCTGGGTTGCATCCCACCTTTTGAGCTCCATTCATGCCTGCAGCAGTTTATTTTTCTTTGATTTAGAGGGAGGGCAAGGGGGCAGGAACCAATCAGCGGTAAACAGGCGGGCTGTATGAATTGTCCAATCAGGGCCGAGGTAGGAGGGCTCTTCCGGTGTCATGGCGGTAAAGTGAGGCGCTGGAGCACGTTGTGTAGAGTCTCTGGTGTTACTGTGCTACCTTTTGTGATTTCTGCTGGCTGCACTCTGCATGGGAAAGTCTCCGTGAGATCCTGAAGCCACGCAATGGTGATGTTGTGGGAGGAAGCCAGGGATGGCACGGAATCGGGAGGAGGTCTGAAAGAAAGTGGCCCGAGCCAGCTCCGGGGAACCACGGCTTAGCTCCGGACCCTGAGGATCTCCTGGTCTTTGGTGCTTTTTGTCTCTTTTGTACTGTGCTGGGTCAGGGGTACTTCTGGGTTTCCAGGATCCTGCCCCCACTGTGACATGCCTAGCCCACAACGCTGTCTTGAGTTTCCCGAGGAACACCCTCATAAACACCCTTCTGGGGAGAGCCGGGGGGAAGGTGTTTGGGAGACCCTGTTGGATCTGGGTCGGATCTGGGTGCAGTTGTGATATGCTAGGTCTCTGGTATCGTTCCTTTTAGTAGCAGACCTGGAGATTCTGACATTTATAAATGTTTGTGATGCAGGGTCTCACGCACCTAACCCATCGCTTTAGGTCTCTGCCTTTTTGTATTCACAGTGAATCCAGATTTCCAATGTTTCTTCATATTACCAAAGTCATATTATATGTTAATATGGGCTATGAGAATCCAAACAGAGGTGTAACATTGAGGGTGCTTTGACTTAGGAGCGACGTGCTGTGGAAGCAAACACCTAAACTATATCTTGTATCTTCAATGTCCCTTTACCAAAAGTTGCTTTACAATTTTATTTCTGAAGATTTCCTCACTCTTAGATTTTGTTTTCTTTTGGTTTTGTCTTGTTTGCTTTTGTTTTTATTGTTTTCTTTTGGATGTCTGAGACAGGGTCTCCCTATGTAGTTCAGCAACCCTGCTGGCTCAGCCTCCAGAATGTTGGGATTATAGGTGTGCACCACCATATCTAATCTAGATTTCTGATAGAGTATTTTTCATATTTTCTTTCATATTTTATGTTTTTTTGTATTTACTTATAATGGACATTTGAATGTGAAGTAATAAGATTAACTTTGCATATAAAATGACCAATTTACCACCATAGAAGTGATGAATCATTTTTTATATTTGATTTCTACTACTGGCCTTATCAAAATTTCTGGTTACTTAAAACATGTATTTCTTTGTACTTTTTATACATTTAGTGTCTACAGGTTGGTTGAGTGTCAGGTTTAAATGATTGCAGCTATGTGTCATCTCCCAAATTGTAGAAAAGGATATCTCTCTCCTTTACTTGAGATTTGATACACTGCCCTTTGTTTTTCAAAAAGAATTCCAATAAATGTTAGATTTAGAGTTGCTTTGCTAGCATTATAAATATAGTTGTATTGCATATACAATTTAAAGAATTCTTAGCATATTGCATCGTCAAATCCGAGTCTCTACATTATTCTCTTGACATTCAGGTCATCTCCAATTTCATTTGTATGTATGATTTTTCTCTTTGAGATGTAGACTTTTTAAATATTTGTCAATATGAGGTACAATAATTTTTAAGTAATTTTTAAATTTGATGGAGTGTGAGGTTATTTCTAGTTGGCAGTAGTGTCCTTGCTTCACAGTGATTGAGGGAGGCAGCGTGTGCCTTAACAGAAGTCATATTGGCAGAGACTGAGTGAGGAACCAGATGGCAGGATCTAGTTGATTCCTTTTTCAAGGCAGATTTCAGAAGTATTTGCAAAAATTTTAAAGAAGTTCAATTTTTTACTTTAATGTATTTTTTGACAAAATAGTTGTTTTCCCTAAAATGATCTTTATATGCACATGGTATATTAACATTCCTGCACTGATTCTATTGATAACAAATTTTTTTGTATTTTCACTACCAATCAGTTAAAAACTGGTTCAACAACAGGCTGTTAGAATTCTCTAGTTTCTGTGTGTACAGAGCTTGAGACCAAAAATGCTCAAGAGCTGTATTTCCTTATAATTTGGGTTCTGATTGTGTATCCTGTAGCTTCATTGTATTGGGAGAGTTCCAATGAATACTGAAAGTGAGAGGTACACCATGACTTTCTCCAGTTGATCTTGGCTTTGGGAGCAGAGTCTCCCTGTTACTGTTTTCGAATTTTACGTCTTGATTCTTTCATAATTCATGCATAGAAATCTTTATCTTTAATGTCAAGCCTATTGTTGTTTTTTATCTGTCTTGCCTATATGTCCTGTGTGAAAACATGAATTTTTGTTTCATGTGACAGAATATTGGAGATATTGAATGTCCTTCAGTTATTTCTGGTTTTGAAGTAATTCATGTCCTGAGTCTTCATTCACTGTAACATTTGCTGGTTTTAGAATCAAGTTATTAAGTTATTTATCACATTATGGTGTTTTCTCTTCATTAAAAGCCTGTAAGAAATAACAAAAATTGAGTTTTAGAAAATACTTATGTCAGGACTCAAATAATCATATCAGTTCTTTCTTTGTTTTTTTGTGATGAGTTTCATCATCAGGTGAACAGACACAACTTCATTAACATATAGTTACTTTTTTCCCTGTGTGTGGGACTTAGATTGAACCTGCATCATGCAGGCTAGGGACCCAAGCTTTCACTAAACAACATGCAAAGATTAATACACCCTTAGATTTTGTAATATACCCTTAGAATTTGGTAGGTAAAGATCTAGCAGATTTGAAAATCTGCATACACACAGGTAATGGGCCTATGTCTGTCTTTTCTTGTAAGTATGTCTGGATTTACATACAGATTGCATTACCCTAGTGACATAAGCTGCAGAGATTTCTTTCTCTTTTTTGATTACAAGCATTTGAGACTGTGCCCAGCTGAGTATACCATATTTATTATAATGTTCACATTTATATATATTTGCTATATATAATCAATATATTCATCCTGAGAAATTGTACAGATACAACTGGCATCCTCATCAATGTCTGAAAAATTTCAGTGAATCACTGGAAAACTCAATGGGATATGAGTTTATAAAGAAAAGCTTTTTTTTAAAATAACAGTTTGACTACTTGCCAATTTATGTCATTTTCCACAGTCTGCCTCTTCTGTTGCCAAATTTGTAATTTTATATTTCTGAGAATTTTTCTACCATCTAAAATTCATTACATAACAATTAGGTTCTACTTTTTGTTTCTTTATAATATCCACTTTCACAAAGGTGCAGTGGTTTGCATCTGTAATGCTGGCATTCAGGGAGCTAGCTAATTCAAAGGAATGCCAGGCTGGCCTCAGATTTGTGACGATTCTGCTTCCGCTTCCCAAGTTCTGGGATTACGGGTATATGCCACTACACCTAGCTGCTTTTCCAATATATTTATTCCTGTTTCATGAATTATTCCTTGTGTTTTTCATCAAATATCTTGCTAAATATATTTCTTAAAAGCTATATATGTAATTGAAAGTATTGACATTTTATGCTAAAGTCATTACTTAATTCTATGCATGTCTACATTTATTTCATGTGCTTCTGTTGAAACTGTTTAATGTTATATTTTGCAGCTAGGCATAGTGACTCATGTTTGAAATTCCAGCACATCAGACAAAGATGCAGGAGAATCAATACAAGTTAGAGGCCAGTCTGAGCTACCAGTAAGTCAAGGCCAGCCTGAACTACACAGGGAGACCCTATCCAAATAATGAAACACATATATTTTGCATCAAAACCACAAGTGAAGTAATAATTAGTTTAGTGGTAAACTGCATGCTTGATGCAACTGAGGTCCAGTACTCCATCCCTCCAGTGAGAAATGCAAACAAGTTAGAATTATGAAGATACTCCTTCCCTATTATTTGTAGTACTTGTCTGTTACAATCTACATACTATTTATACTTTGTAATTGATGGGAAATTTCTTGTGTCCTAACAGAATTTTTTGTAAATGGCTGGGTTTTTTTGAAAAACGTTTATTTCTTATTTTATACATGGGGTAAGTATATCTAATACCATTTGTCAGAATGTTTCTAAGTGCATTAGAATTAAGTTTTTAATTGCATTTCTTATAGATGATAATTTGCCACCAAAATCCTCTACCTATATATGTCTATAGGTTTATTTCTATCTGAATAAAGATGTGCCGTTTACTACTTGAATTTCAGAGAAATTTTATAAGATATTTGCAGTTCTCCCTTGGTTTCATACCAATACCATCTCCTGCTCAGTTGCTGTTTTGACCTTTAAATTGTGGTCCCCTTACTTTAGTCTCCCAAGAAGCTGAATTTGCAAGTATAGAGCATGTTTCATTTTCCTTCATTTCAATAGGAAATAAGATACCTGGATTGAATGCTAAATATTACAGGTTTAAAATAAAAAACATTGAAGTAGTCAATGAATACTCTTAGAGAATACATTATATTAAATACCCAAACAAAACAGATATTTTCTAGAACATGCTTCCTATTAGAATTCCTAGACCCAGTCACCAGTGCCTGTCTGAAGTGCTCCAAATGCATGCCCTCTCTTACAGTCAGTGTCAACAAAATTCAGGTAGTTGTTTAACTTTGGCTTAAGAATTTAATATATTGGTCTCACTTTTAGCTTTCAAGGCAGTGAATGTTAAGGCTGTTGTAACAGAATAGATGAGGAAAATGCCTAGCAAGACAGTGAATAGCATAGAGTTACAAGTTGCTATTTATTCTTTGTCACAATTTAAGTTTCCCCACTTACTCTGTTTGAATCTCAGCAGATACAACAGCCTTGCTTGTCGAGAAGTACTGAACCTTGTGTCAGGCTGGTTTTGGCCTCTTGGCTCTCCTGTGACAGCTCCATCCTGCTCCGTCCTGTGGTGCTTTTGATGACCTTGTTGGTGCTGCAGGGAAATCTGCTCATTAGAGTGAATGCAGGCTGCACACATCCGTGTCCTTGTCGTCTGCTTTTGCCATCTCGAACATTGTGCTCAGTGTCATCCTCGGCGGTGGTCAACCTGTCGTGCCTGCACTGCTGGGTCACTTGTGTGTCCTGGACTCACCTGATGCCCTTCTTTCTCTTTTGCTCGCTCATGTCTTGCTCATTGTTACTGGCTCTGCCCACTATTGGTCTGTTTGCCTAAATATGAGCTACAGTGTACGTATTAGCCTCTGTGACTTGTGGCTCTATCCTGAGATTTATTCAGTTATGGTAATTATGGTGACAATACTAGATTTTTATGTTGTGTTGTGTGAGTCTAATGTTATCTAAGATTTTGTCTCACTCTTTTTCCCTCACGAGGGGGCCATGTGCAGATGAAATTCTGTCCATCATGTGGGTGATCACATAAGTTGCTTAGTCCTAATCATGCTCATCTGTGTCTTCATTTTATCTGCCGTCTTCAGGGCCTCGTGTACTGAAAGATAGCAGATTGCCTTCTCTATGGACAGGATGTCCTACACTGTGTGTGCCACGTTCTCTGTGCTTTCCTTTGTCAGTTATTTCCCGACCAAATTCTAAATATCTCAGCCGACACTCTGCAGAGTCTGACAGAGAAGGTCAACAATGCTTGTCAGTTTTATCCTTAGTGACAAGCGTCAGAAGAAACAGGTCTGTCCTCGCAAACCCTCACCTAGAAGTTTTGAGGCTTGGAGTGCAGTGAATACATTCACACCGACCTCTGTATCTCTTCCTTTTTTCCGATCCATTTGTCTTCTCTGCTTGCCATCTCCTCCTATTTCTTTTCTTGTTCCTTTTTTGCTTCTTTTTTCTGTCTTCCCTTTTTTGTTTGGCTGCTACTTTGACTCTTCCTTGCTTCCATTCATTGCTCTCCTCGCCCTTCTGTGTCGGCATTTGCCTTTTGCACATCTGTCCCTCTTTGCAGCTGGTCTCCCTTCATGCACTATTATCAGTTGTAACTGCACGGGAAGGTGCTGGGTCACCATCAGCCCTCAAAACGGTGATGAAGCAAGGCCAGATGGTCCAACACAGGAGAGGGGCATGTGGGGGATGCCCAGCTTCCGGCTGGCAGTGGGCAGAATGAGGTTTGCCAGGATCTGGGCCTCCCTGGATCGGGCAATTAATCTTTGTTCCTACATGTCAACTGCTACTTGTACACATTTTTGGTCTTTTCTAACCGTCTGGGTGTGGCCAAGACATGTGCCAGCACCACGGCATCCTGTCCCGGTGAGCTGCCTTCGCCATGGCCAGAAGCCTGCCTTTGCCAGCTCAGTACCTGCAGCCCTGCTGCTCACCATGCTGCTTAGTGAGCAGGAAGGTTTAGGGGTCCTCCTGATGCATGTGTGAGGTTCTGTGTGGGTGAAACTGTGCACCCACACCCAGACTGTTTTGGGGGCCCTATTTTCTCTCCCAGCAGCAGACCAGGTGTTACGCTTTACATCTAAAATGTCTCCTGAGTGTCTCATGAGTTTCAGGGCTGATTGGATTCTGTGGGCCCTGTCTTCATCAGTGAATTCACTCATTGGTGAGTTCAGTATCTGAATGCGAGGACCTATTGGAGATGGGTCCCTACAGGTGAGGCCTGGAAAAGGATTCTTGTTTGCAGCCCTCCCATCTTTCTCTCCTTCCAGGCTGCATGGTTTGAGTATCTTCTCCTCCACAGTGCCACTCTGCTATCATGTTTCCACCTTGCACCCAGGAGACCATGGACTGAAACTGAGCCAGTGTAAACTTCTGGCATTGCGTATTTCATCTCAGTAACAGGAAAGTGGCTAAACCTCCTAATTATGCTAAATTTGTTAGAGTCTCACACAGATTTGATTGTGATGACAGTAAGTTCCAAATTCCCAAACACTTCTCCACAATCCCAAAGGTACTATATATAGAATTTTTATAAATGGCATAAAAATTGGAAGGAATGTTTAATATTGCCTGTTATGAGACTCGATGTTAGGGACTTAGCCAAGCCTGCACCAACTACTGTTATATCCAGAGCAATGCCATAAATAAACAAACAAACAAACAACTTGCTTCTCATGGTTTAGAATGCCCCCAAATGGGCAGTAAGTTATCAATATAAAGAAGGAAAGATGGGGACCAGGGATTTAACTCAGTGGCATAAGCACCTGTCTGGCAAGCATGAGCTTGCAAGTTCAATATTCAGTACCAAAAAAAAAAAAGAAGGAGGAGGAAAGATGAAAATGTTGCTATGAAGAACAGTTTCCAGAAAGGGCTGACTGTTAATCCCAAACTCTGAGTCTCCTGAAAGTCCTCCACAAGTGACTTGTGAATGGGTGAGGAGATAGAGAAGCACCATCTGTCACATAATTGCGATAGTTCCTGGGTAGTTTGTAGACATTCTTTTTAAAATGGCACACTAGCTAAGTGTGGTGGGGCACGCCTGTAATCTGAGCACTTGGCTGGGCTGAGGCAGGAGAAGTGTTGGAAGTTCAAGTGCAGCCTTGCTTCATAGTGAGTTCAAGGCCAGTCTGCACTACACAGTGAGACCCTGGCTCAAATGACATGATGAATGAGGTAAGGCAGGAAGTCAGAGCAGCTGGAGGAAGGCCCAAGGATTTCAGCTATTAGCACGAAACAGGTGTTCTGTGCAGCGGATGGTGGTGGGCAGGAAATAGGCTCCTTACCGGTTCTCCTTTGAAAATGTTATTGATGTGAATTACAGAACAGGCTGTATGCTGGCTTCATTTTGAAAGTGGCTCAGAATTTTAGTCTTGGAAGAAAGAAATGGGTTGAGGATTTAGCTCTGTGGTTCAAATGATTACCTGGTAAGCATGAGGTCATGAGTTCGATCCCTGGTACCAAAAAAGAAAAAAGAAAAGAAAAAATATATGTATAGTTATATAAATAATTCTTTTGTTATTGCTAAGTTCACCTAATCATTCTTGAGCCATAATGGAAATTTTGTCTCTGTTATTACTTTAAAAATTTGTTGGCAGCATTGTCTGGGTGTAATGGGGAGGGCATTACACAAAAATAGACATGCGCATAAGGTATTTCTTGTGTTGGTAGGGATTTGACCCAGGACCTTCGCTCTAAGAAGCATTGAGGCCCTTTATAGTTTTAGTTACCATTATTTCGAATTTTGACACTAGTCTCTCTATGCTGAGCTAAAGCTCTTATCTTATTGCTTCTGCCTCCCAGAATGACGTGATCACAGCTGTGGCTCACCAAGCACAGCTTTATACCATGATGACATGCTTGGTTGAATTAAACATCATCAGTTATTTGTTTTTATGTCAAAAGTGTTGTAACTTTTTTCCATTGTGAGTGTGGGTACTATTCCAACACATCCTTGGAACTTTCTTCCCCTAGATAAATGTCTGTGCCTTTGGCATTAGTTGTGTATAGTATAATTTTTTTAATGGAGGAGAGAACCTGAGACCGTCATGATTTTTGACACAGTAGAAATACTCATCCCTTTTTATCATAAACCATTTGAGGCAGTATATTCATTTGTGGTCCTGGTGTGACTTCAAATGCCACCCATGAGTAACTTGAGAATAGTGAAAAGCAGCGTCATATGCTTTGGGCAGCAGTCTTCACTTGAAGCAGTGTACCAGAAGTGCGCTTTGAATTTGTCAAAGTTTTGGTCACCCTGCATGGTACATTAATTTGGGGCCCACTATTTTTTGTTGGAGAATTGCTTAGTGCTCAGTAAGTAATACACACTAGAATCCAAAAGAACGGTTGAGAAGACACAAAGGTCAACTTTCAGCTGGCTGTGGGTATTTGTGTGTGCTCAGAATTGAGACTGAGTACATAAAATTTCACCCTGTGAAGATGGCTGCGTAGGAGTAAGTACAATCAAAGACGCAGAGCCATAAATAATAAGATTTGAAAATAAATTTACGGGCAACCCACTTGGACCCCGTCTGTCTCCCTCTCAGATCCCTCTCAGACAGAAGCTTTCTCTCTCTCAATAAATATATTCTGGTCTTTAAAAAAGAAATTTACTTATGGCCTCTCAAAATCATTCGTTAGATACTAATCTGCCTCCGTGTTCTGTGGATATTGATCTTGCAGCCTCCCTCTGTGAGCTCTGCCTGTGAGACGGTGCGCGGTATGTGTGCGGTGACCCAGCAGAAGAACCAGTGCTCCCATTCGACTGTTGCTTTACCAGTCAATGGCAGTCTGGCATCAGAATTGCTGCCTAAGAAATGCACATACACATAAATGTGATGACCAAGTCAGAGTTAATATTTGAAAGATTGGGATTTATTGTTTGGTTTTCTTTTTGTTTAAGACAAGCCCTCACTATGTAGTTCAGGCTGACCTTTAACTCACTGTGTAACCTGTACTAGTCGTGCAAATCCTCCTGCCTCAGCCTCCTGAGTGCTGGGATTACAGACATCTACCATCACACCTGACTCTCAGTGCAACTTTTTATGAGAGTAATTGAAATATCTCAGCCTGTATATCTCAACTTTGCTTCAACAAATATATGTGTGATCATTTAGGAAGCAGTGACCTCTCAGGATGTGGCTGTGAACTTCACTATGGAGGAGTGGGCTTTGCTGAATCCGTCCCAGAAGAAGCTCTATAGAGACGTCATGAGGGAAACTTTTAGGAACTTGGCTGCCATAAGTAAGGAATCACTTTCTCATTTGTACAATCAAAAGAACATTTCTGCTCATGCAGTTGCATTATATAGAATGTGTAAGCATTTTAAAGAATATTTGAGGCCTGGTTACATTACACTATGAATCTAACTGGAATGTATTCATTTTTATGTAATAAGAGTGTCTCCTTATATTTCTGTGTCTGTAATTCAGGAAGAGCTTGGGGCAACCAGGAAGTTGAAGAAGAATACAAAAATTCCTGGAGAAATCTAAGGTAATTTGCACTCAGAAGAACAGGAATGTTACTCAAGAGTTAGTATATGAATGGCAATTCCACAACCAGGGAAATGTGTCCATGTTTTTATGTATGTTTGTATTTTTTGTGGTGCTGAGAATCAAACCCAGGGCCTTGTGCATGCAAGGCAAGAGTTCTCCTGTTGAGCCACATCTCCAGTCCTCAAATTTATTTCATCTCACAAATATGCTTTAAATTGTATATAGTTGGGGGAGCTGGGGATATAGCTCAGTGACAAAGCACCTGCCTGGCAAGCACAGGGTCCTGAGTTCAATCTCCAGTACCCCCCCACCAAAAAGAAAATAAAAGATAAGCTAGAAGTATCAACAAAATGTATATAATTTTAGTATGTGTAATCTGACAACCAAATACAGAAATATTCCAATATAGGAAACTGCGTTAGTACTGATATCATGCAACAAGTGATACTATCTGACATACAAGAAATATTCTTTCATGATCACCTTCATGAAAGCATATGAAATTTCACTTAGGTATGATATACAGGTATATATGAAAGGAAATGAATTTTGACAGAAAGTCATCCTCAGGCTTTGATTATATTGTGAATATGAGACAGTATCTAAAAATTTGCTAACCTTAAGCCATGTGTGGTAGTACATGCCTGTGATTGCAGGCTCGGGAGGCTAAGCCAGGGGAATCCCCACAAGTTTGAGGCCAACTTCGGCTGCGTAGTGCATTTAGACAGAGGCAGCCCAAACTATTCAGTGAAACCCTGTCTCAAAAAAAAGAAAAGAAAAAGGAAAGAAGTGCTAACCCTGAAGCAGTATTCAAAGTGCAAATGAATACTAGTGTTGTAATATCAAGTGCTTTTAAGCCATTCTCCAGAGAATTGAGTCCATTAATTTTTAAAAATTCTTAAAGGGCACTGCATCATTGCTGGGAGGTACCCTTCAACAATATTGATGGGAATGAAATAAAGTCAGCATTTTATATTGATACCTGTTTGTGTATGCTCCAAACCAGACAATTTGTAACAGCTAAGCCCTGGAATCAACCTAGATATCCACCATTGTATGAATAAACAAAGTCAATTTGTGACAGGCTCAGTGCGATGGGACATTCTAAGCACTCTGGGATGCTGATTCAGCAGAACACCAAATAGATGTTTAGCCTGAGCAACTTAATCATTATAAGAATCTCTTTCAAATTAAGAAATTAAAATAACTGGTGATGTAGCCCAGTGTGTTTTAGTTACTTTTCTCATTGTTGAGACAAAATACCTGACAGGCAAAATGAAGGGAGGAAAAGTATATTTAACTCACAGTTTGTGGAGATTTCAGTCCGTACTCAGCTGGTGCCAAGGCAGGGTGGCATGGCACACGTGTCAAGGCAGCAGGAGACAGCAAAGGCAGCAAGAGCCAAAGGCAGGGCAAGAGCAAGCCTCTTTTCCTGCCTTATATTGGGAGCAGGCTGCCACCTGCTGGAGTGAGTGTAGCACCCAGGCCATCTCCACGCTGTCCTCTTGCACAGGCTCAGGATGTTTACACAGTCAGGACCCTCACCCTCTGCTGAGTCCCTTAAACTTCTAAACTCAAGTTGACACAACAGATCAACCATTACAAGTGCTTTTAACTCCCAGCACTGAAAAGGAAAAGAAAAAATATGCTATATAATCAGCCATAAACATGAATGATACTGTCATCTGCCAGAAAAACTGAGTGGCCTTCATCCTGTATCGTGTAGTGAAATAAGTCAGACACAGAAAATGAAATGTCCTTTAGGGCACTTTCCTTCCCTTTCATTACTGCAGCATCACACATTGTGGATGTTATTACTCTTTCAGTTTTTATTTTTTATACTAGAGAGACAGTGTGATATTTACAAATACGAGTCTGATTTATTTCACTTGTGAGGATAGTCTCAAATTGTCTCCATTTACCTATAAATGCCTCATTTTTTTATAGCCGAGTGATATTCCATTACATAAAAATATCACGTCTTTTTCATTCACAAATCCGTTGATGGGCATTTTGGTTGTTTCCAAGATTTAGCTATTACAAATTGTGCTGCTCTAAACATGGGTGCACATATAGCGCTGTGACATGACCTTAGCAATTTTTCTGGGAAAATACCCAGGAGGGGAATAGCTGGACTGAATGGAGCTTCCAGTCCTGGTTTTTTGAGGAATGTCCGTACTGATTTCCACAATGGCTGTAGCAGTCTGCACTCCCAACATCATTTCTGAAGAGTGGAAGTGAAGGTTGTTTGGGTTTGTGGGGTTTACTTGGCAGAGGTGTGAGGGAGATGAGAAAAGCCTGCTACCCCTGGGTCATGTTTTGTCATGTTTTATCTGTACCTGCTTAGGTGGAGATAACACTTGTCTTGCAGAGATTCATTTACCATTTTTAGGGTTCTCCATTCTTGTGGGAGAGGAGAAAAGAGGAAAAATAGGAGCAAGAAGCTGCAAAAAACATAGGTCTTGGCCTGCTTCAAAATGGGCTTTGATGGTTCTACTGTCTTCCAAAAAAGTAATAAGAGCTGTGGGACCAACAAAACCCAAAACGTGTAATTGTCATTGTACAAAAGAGAGGAAAAGAAAGTGCTCTAAACGATATAACTGCATGTATATTTAAGTGTACAAGATAGATAATGATATTACTGAGTTTTGTTGGATCATTGAACAGAACTGTTTACAGTCTCACTGTTGGAATGTCCACTTTATAAGCTTTAATTTTGTAACTTGAACAATTGTTTCTGAGATGAAAAAATGTAATCCAGTAACTAGTGATTTCCTACTGTTTATTTTTTTCTGTAAATCTGTATAACTTGTACCTTTCTCTGCTTTTTTTTTTTCTTTTCTTTTTCTCCTTAAATACAATTTTTTTAAAAATGGGCTTTGATGAAGAAAGGGACAAAAAAAATAGAAAGAGGAAAACAGAAACAAAGCTTTTGCAAATAAGCAGGGGCAGAGGGGTGAAAAGAGAAGGGAGGGGAATGGGAAGAAAACAAGAAGCAAGATTTACCACATACAAGTGTGATGTACCAGGGTGATGAGTGTGATCATTATGCATATCTAAAGTCTACCAATAAAACGTAGGTGAAAGAAAAAAATGAAATGTCACATAGTCACTTATGTGAGAAACTGTAATATCAATTAGAGAATAAAATAGTCAGGAAAAAGAAGATGAACCAATTAAAAAAGGAAAGCCTGACTTTTTTGAAATGGGGAATTCGGTAAGGGAGCGAAAGGTAAGAGTGATAGGGGAAAGTATCAAAATGATCAATATGTGCTACATGTATGTACCAATTTCCCAAAGTGAAACGACCCTTCTGTATTTCAAAATATACCTATTTAAAAATTCCCAAATGAGTATCACTCGAGAATGGCTGTTTTGAAGGCTTCCTCCAGGGCATTCATTGTCAAAATTTCTTAGGAGGCCTCAAACCAGAACTTGTAGTAAATCATTAACATGGAGACAATTTATTCAAACCATTTAATAATTATTGTTTCTTGCAGAAATGAAGAGGTAGAGAAATACTGTCAAAATAAAGGTTGGAATCAGCATGAAGAAATACTCTTTTGGACTCCAGATGCTAATACACGCATGAAACAAACTGATTTAAAGCCAGCCAAAAGTCTTGCTTGCAGAAAGTCCCTGCATGGTGTGCCCACCATAGCTCAATCTGGACTGAAGACATCTGAGTATATGGGGTCAGAAGAAAAGATGGATAAGTATAATAAACATGAAAGAACCTGCAGTGATCTCCACTCCTTTCAGAAGGATGCAAAGACAAAGACTAGAGAGAAACCTTATGACTATGGTCAGTATGGGAAATCCTACTCTGATCTTAGTGAAAAAACTCACCTTACAGAGACCTTTGTATGTGAGAAAAATTTGAAATTCTCTAACATTCCCCATGATGTTCAGATTCATGAAAATAACCACAATGAGGGAAAACGCCATGTATGTAGGGAATGTGGAAAGACTTTCAGTAGGCGTCAACAATGTAAACAACATGAAAGAAGTCACACTGGGGAGAAACCTTACGTATGTAAGCAGTGTGGGAGAGCTTTCAGCATACGTAGTAATTGTCAAAAACATGAAAGAACTCATACTGGGGAGAAACCTTACGTATGTAAGCAGTGTGGGAGAGCTTTCGCCATACGTAGTAATTGTCAAACGCATGAAAGAATTCATACTGGGGAGAAACCCTATGAATGTAGGCAGTGTGGGAGAGCTTTCGGTAGGCGTGAACATTGTAAACAACATGAAAGAACTCACACTGAGAAGAAACCCTACGTATGTAAGCAGTGTGGGAAAGCTTTTAGCAGATCCTATAATTGTCACACACATGAAAGAAGTCACACCTGGGAGAAACCCAAGCCCTATGTGTGTAAGCAGTGTGGGAAAGCTTTTAGCACACGTGGTGATCATCAAAAACATGAAAGGACTCACAATGGGGAAAAACCCTATGTGTGTAAACAATGTGGGAAAGCTTTCAGCACACAAAGTAATTGTAAAATGCATGAAAGAATTCACATGGGGGAGAAACCATATGTATGTAAACAGTGTGGGAAAACTTTCAGCACACACAATGGTTTTAAAACACATGAACGAATTCACACTGGGGAGAAACCCTATGTTTGTAAGCAATGTGGAAAAGCGTTTAGTACACAAAGTGCTTGTAAAGTACATGAAAGAATTCACACTGGGGAGAAACCCTATGTTTGTAAGCAATGTGGGAAAGCGTTTAGGGCACCAGGTGGTTGTCAAATACATGAAAGAATTCACACTGGGGAGAAACCCTATGTTTGTAAGCAATGTGGGAAAGCTTTCAGTAGGGGTCATCATTGCAAACAACATGAAAGAACTCACACTGGGGGAAAACCTTATGTACATAAGCAATATGGGAAAGTTTTCACAAGAAAGAGTACTTTTCAAACACGAAAGAAGTCACACCAAGGAGAAACTCAAACCCTATGTATGTAAACAGTGTGGGAAAGCTTTTGGTACACAAGGTGACTAAAATACATGAAAGAAATCACATGGGAGAAACCCTACATATGTAAGCAATTTGGGAAAGCTTTTAGTACACAATGCTATTGTAAAAGTCATGAAAGGACTCATACTCAGCATTAATTCTGTATATGTAGGCACTGTAAAAAAAAAAAAAAAAAAAAAAACAGCACTCATGGAATTTACCAAAGACATAAAACTCAAAATGAGAAATTCTATGTATGCAAGCAATATGGGACGGCTTTGGGTAAACACATCATCAAACATATGAAAGAAGTCTCACTGAGGAGGAACTTGGTATGTAAGCCTACTTTCAACTCCTGTGAAAATTTCTCATGTAGTGAAGATCTGTAGGAATAATAAATACAAAAAGTTTGATGTATTTCTTAAAAATAAAATACCAGATAGCAATATCCTAAAGTATATACATTAGGTTTTTCAGTAAATCACTTCAATATCTCCTTGTGTGTCTGCAGTTTTTCATGAAAAAATGGCAAGCTAACATAGTGGCACAGTTTTTCTCTCTGAGCTTAATACGTACTGTTTTAATAAAGCATGGTGAGTTGAAATGTATTTTTTTTTTTGGTCATTTTCATTTTTATCGGTACCGGGGATCGAACTCACAACCACTTGCTTACAAGGCAGGTGCTTATGCAGCTGAGCTATACCTCCAGCCACAAAATGTATTTTTTTACTTTGAATTAATATTTATGCAGTTTTTGTTTAGTCTCGAAAATTGGGAGGTGTAGGTTACTAAAATATTAATTGCTTTTTGTTAATTGTTAGGATTTGTCTCTACCTTGGTTTTAAATTTTTGATGTGTGTACTCTTATTCTGTGCAACAAATGGCATTTTTTGATTTGATGCCATACTTTATATAAGATATGTCTTCAGAGCCTTGTGAACACATTTGACAAGATTGACTTGTTTTCACAAAACTTGTAGATCATCATGTAGTGTTTCTCATATCAAGGCATCATACTTGCTTATATTCCAATACTGTACATTACATCATGTACCTAATTTTGCCTATTTTTCATATTAGAGCCAATATTATCATTTATATAGAATTTTGTTTTCTTACCATCAAAATTGTGCTTTCCTGTTTATATTGCAATGACTTTTAATTTTGGTGGTAATTTTCCACCATATGTACCAAAATTAGCCCAAACCAGCTTGAGTTTCTGATTGCTACAAGCCATAAGGACCATACATAACTTGTCTTCAGAAGGACATCATGAATTATAGTAAGCTCTACAAAATTATACATGATGTTACGATTTATCAATAACACTTTTAAAGGAATCTTTGTCAGCAATGAAGCTCTTGGGGAGAATGATTGCTATTCAATGTAATGAGGCAAATGCTTTTATTCCCTAATTTGAGATTCCATTCTATCTTTGGTAATCAATTATAATATTTTTTGAGACAATGTCTCATTGTGCAGTTCAGGCTGGTTTTGAACGCACCAATTAATCCAAACTTACATGGCAATCCTGTGTCAGTCTCCCAAATGCTTGGATTACAGGCACCCACCACCATATACAGCCATCATTATTTTTACCTAATAAGCTGAAATAACGACTCAAAGGAAAACAACTCATGAGAATTATTGGCTTTGTAAGTTTTAAGCTTAAGGAAAAACCTTTAGCTTAAGGAAAAAACTTGTCTAAAAAACAATTGCAAATCACAATCCTATTGGTCAGGAAATAATCTTCATGTAGTATTTGTATAGCAGCCATATACGTGCCTGCTTCGTAGATGGAAACAGAAACATGTCTTCTACCACTGTCTTTACAGCTGTAAAGACAGGTGTCCTGGTGTTAGTGGCACATCTTGTCTCAGACACTCCAATTACATCTCTTTGTCTTTTAGGATTTAACTCCCAGCTGTGTCAAGCCCCTTGTAGTCTTCTTTCTGTAGCTGTGGAAGCTCTGCCCTGTGTTTGTTATTGCTTTAGAGAAGGATCCTAGATTGGGTTTAATGACACTGACAAAGAGGGGAGAAGTACAATAAGAAAATGAGGGGCTAGAAACATGACAGTGAACAAGGATGGGTGAGAGAGGTGGGCAAATGTTGAGGGGCTGTTTGGGTCACACCTGTGACCTCCAAAGGGGAGCACAGGCGTCGTATGGGAACACATGGACCATATACCTCCGAATAAATCAGACACTACAGTTTATTAACACTTTGGATGATTATCTTCAAGTATCAAAATGACCCTACGTGAAGTGTGGTCTTACACTACATAGACAAAGCACAGGATGGGTTTGTAGGTCAGCTTCTATGCAGATGGATCATGTGGCTGTTCTCAAGTCGTTTAATTGCTGGGCACCTTAGCTCTATCATCTGTAAAAACAAAAATATTAGGGACTGTAAAAAGAAACAAATAGAGCATCTGACATCATGGAAGACATCTATAAAGCAATCTGTAATCTTTATTTATTATAATCATTTCCCATTTCATTTATAAAAAGACGAAAGGTTCTCAAATTTAAAAAGTTTTCACAATGAAAGAAACCACCAACCAGAGAACTCTTCTCAAGGTGCCAGGGGGACTTCCCGTCCTGGCCGCTGAGGTGGGGAAGGCTATACAGGCTTTTGTTTTTCTTTCTAGGTGTTTGCACTCATTCTATAGGTCCTTGTCTATGCATTGGTTTATTGTATTTTATTTCCCTTTTTTTAAATGAACGCGGTCTCTGCTTACCCAAATTTGGTTAAAGGGTTTTTTCTAAGTTTGTGCTTTGGTATGATGTTGGGATTAGGATGGGCGTTGCACCAGTAAGGGGACTGAAAGCCTGCATGAATCCTGTGCAGAAATGTGTTTATGTCAACTGCCACCATCTTTTTTGTTGTTGTTGTTCTAAGTCACCTTATAAGCTAAGCCTTTGATTTTGAAAAGCAACATGGAGGAATCTCTTTAAATTCTTTTATCTTGCAAAGTGTCTCTTTCCCACATGAAAGAGAAAAGTCTGTGCACTTTAAAAGGAAATGGGTTGCTTTCACTGTCTTCTGCCATCAAGAACTGTTGTAGCTCTGCCATGTACCACCCTGCCTTGGTGCCAGCCGATTATGAGCTGAAACCTCTTCAAACTTTTAAACAGAAGACTCAAAAAACCTCTACAGGAAGACTTTGAGAACTAATAAATTCAGCCAAGTGTGATACAAAATCAACACACAAAAAGTAATAGCATTCCTGTGTGTTAACCATGAAAGCAGTGTGATGAACCTGGAAAACAATCTGATTCTCAATAGCTTCACATAAAAATTAAATGCCTAAGAATCAACCTTTTATTAGGTGAAAGACCTCTGTAATAATAGTATGGTATTCTGGGGAGAAAAAAATGGCAGCTTGCTAGGGGGCTGGATGGCGAGCACAGAGAAATCAGATCAGATGCTAGAATATGACCATGTGGAGAGAGCCAGGTGAATGGATAATGATTCTTATTAACCAAGGCAGTAACCGAAGGGAAAAATAAAAGTAGGAAGAGGTAGGAAAAGCGCAGGTGGAGAGCTGAAGCCCGGCACGCTCACTGAGACCCATTCTGTGCTGTACTAGGTGCGCCGGGGGATCCTAGGTGGTGCCGAGACCACAGCTGCCAATAAAGGGAGCTGGCGAGTCCCAGAACCTTAATGGGAGGACATGGCCCTGAGCAGTGGGACTGAGCTATGCCTCTGGTTGGGACCCAATAAGCAGGTACAAAATTGTTGCGGCTCTGTGATGTCCACAAGACACAGCCTTAATTTGCGGATTGACTGGCTCAGAAGCTCGAGGTTAGCCTGCACCATCCCGACATCCTTGTGTGTACCTCAGCTAACAGCAAATTGGGGAGGGTGACAAAACCCCAGTCAGTATGCTTCAGAAAGACCCTAAGCAATACGGAGAGGGCCAGAGACCCCCTGGACTCACCAGTCTGAAAGAAACCAGAAACATGACAAGAGACAGAAATTTTTAAAAATCTCCACCTAACAAACCCGGGAAAATAAGCCCAGAAGTAAATACAGAAGAGAACCAGTGCAGTAACCATCCAATACTAGACACAGCATCAGCGGACATAAAGAAATACCTTCATGACCTAATAGATGAATTTAAAACTGTACTTCTGATATAAGTGAGTCAAGATATAAAAAGATTTATTAAAGAAATGATAAGCCACTGCCAAGAGAACACAGATGGAAGAATGGAGGAAATCAGAAAAGAAAGAGAAACCTCTGATGAAGAATTTAAACATAACCTAGAATACATGAAACAGATCCAAAGAAATTACCAGGAAACTAAAAACTCCATTGAATTTTAAAAAATCAGACCCCCGAAATTCAAGGATCCAATCCAAAAATGGGCATCTGAGATGAATACACAGTTCTCAGATGAAGAAATACAAATGGCAAATAAATACATGAAATAATGTTCATCATCATTACTCATTAAAGAAATGCAAATTAAAACCACACTGAAATTCCATCTCATTCCTGAAAGAATGGCCAGGATCAAGAAATCCAACAACAACAAGTGCTGGAGAGGCTGCGGGGAAAAAGGAACTCTCCTACACTGTTGGTGGGAGTGTAGACTGGTACAGCCTTTGTGGAGGTCAGTCTGGAGATTTCTCAAAAAGGAAGTCCCATTTGTTCCAGCTATTCCACTTCTAGGCATATTCCCAGAAGAACTGAAAGCACCATACCACAGTGATATATATAGCAGCACAATTTGTATTTGCCAGATCTTGGAAACAACCTAAGTGTTCATCAACTGAGGAATGGATAAAAAAAAGTTGTGGTATTTTTATACAATGGGGTACTACTCAGCTATACAGAATGATTTCATTGAGATATTTATAAATAAATGGGCACAGCTTGAGACCATACTCATAAATGAAATAAATCAAATTCACATGTATAAATACCAAATAGTTTCCCTAGTGTAATCAATGATAAGAATACATAAAAGTATGTGGTAATCATGATTCTCCATTATATTGCTTTGAAGCCTTATAATGTTTTCATTCATTAATTGTAATGGTTTTATTCTAGGTTGTTTGATTTTATTGTCTGTGATGGTATGAACAGCTATTTTGAAGAAAACAAGACATCATAACAGCTAGTACTGATTTAATATCATCTTGTTTTGAAGTCCCATCAAGTTTTGTTCTTCTGTGTCCATCAGTTTTATCATGTTGTATCTTGTTGGATTTAATTATATGTGATAGTACAAACAAAATTTTTATAAACAAGGAGATAATATAGAGACCATTGTTCATTTTCTGTTAGTTGGTACTAAATACCCTGTAATAGTTTTATTCTCTTGAATGGTTTTACACTGTCTTGATAAGTTTGATGCTATAGTATATGAAGTTATACTCAAGTATTTCCAGGAAAGAGACATTATGGTAACTACTGTTATGTCCAGTTATCTTGTGGTGAAACACTATGTTGCTTAAATTGTTCTGTTCTGACCTGTGCCCTTGTGTTATGTCCTCTTTTATCTCAACCTCATTTTTAAATTTTTATTTTTTAACTAAGGGAAAAAACAAATTAAAAATACCAGGGTATATTATAGTAATCATTTTGATTTTCTATTAACTTGATTTGAAGCCCTATATTGCTCTCACCATCTTGTTTTCACTGATTTTATTGTATTCTGTTTTGTTTGACAGTATCAAGTTTGAGGGTATAGTCAACTACTATGAAGACAATAAGATTCACTATGATACCCATTCTGGTTTGACTATTATCTTCTTTTGAAGTCCTGTAATATCGCCAGTGTTTCAGTTATATTGGTTTTGTTCTTTACTGTTTTTTGTTCAATTTTATTATAACTGATGATATAGGCAATTCTTTTTAAGATAGCAAGAGGCATTATGGTAACCACTGTTGATCACCTTGCATTCTGTTTTTACATTATGTACTATGTCCATCCTTTTGATTTGACTGACTCTGTTTTGTTTTGTCACATTTGGTTTTATTCTCTTCAAAAAAAAGTAATAAGAACTGTGGGAGTAATAAAACCCAAAATGTGTAATAGTGATTGTAAAAAAGAGAGGAAAAGAAGGTGCTCTAAAGGATATGACTGCATGTATATTTAAGTGTGTAAGATAGATAACCATATTACTAAGTTTTTGTTGGATCATTGAACAGTATTGTTTGCAGTCTCACTGTTTGAATGTCCACTTTGTGTGCTTTAATTTTGTAACTTGAACAACTGTTTCTAAGATGACCATATGTAATCTATTAACTTGTGATTTCTTACCGTTTATTTATTTTTTTTTTTTGAAATTCTGTATTACTTGTACCTGTTTCTGGGGTTTTTTTTCTCTTTAAATAAAATTTTTGAAAAAATAGCAGTCTTACAGCCCCTTAAACCTAGCCTTATTTCCAGTTCCTGAGGAATTTTTAAAACCAGGAAAATAAATGGGCCTCCAGACAAGGGGGATTTTAAAAGGTACTACTGGTGTTTAGAAAAAAAACTGGTTTTTCCTCAAGGAACACAGTGGAAGGACAAAAATACTTCCCGATTCCTTCCACATGGAAGAGATGCTACATTAGGAGTGGTCCCTTGAGTTTTCACAGGACTGGGACTAGTGGCAGTCGTCCTACTGGTCTGCAGACTTGCCTACTCTGTGCCTAGAGTAACCCAAGAAAGCCCAAGCCACTTTCTTTATTAGGACCTACACAGAAGAGAGGGTCATACCTTGAAGGGGACTGGCAATTACACTACCCATATGACACCAGGCAGAGAATTTAAACAGATATTGTTCCTAATACTTTTACAGACTGGATTACCTCTATCACACCCACTCAGAAAAGGCTATGGAGGTAGTCAATTTTATTCAAAAGCAGAATCCAATTATATGCAGACTATAGGAAACAGTGCAGATTAAAAATAACACGTCAATAAGACAGTGTTTACAGAGAAATCGGTAGATTTCAACACTTCTATTACAAAAGAAAAATATCTCAAATTTATAGGCTAATTAAGAAATAGTAAAAGAGCAAACTGAGCCCCCAAGAAACAGAGAATAAAATAAAAATCAAAGCCTAACTGAGTTTTTGTATTGGAGATATTGAACCCAGGGCATGGACACTGAGATACATCATCTCCAGCTTTTTATTTTTATTTTCATTTTGAGAGAAGGTCTTGCTAAGTCACTAAGTTGCACAGGCTAGGTCGATACTTGTTCTCCTGTGCCTCAGTCACCCAGGCATGCACTAGCAAACTTGTCTCTCTAAATAAATTAACATTTTCCATACTGACCAAAATTAAAGCAAAAGTGAGAATCATAAGACATAGAGTCAGAGACAGAAAGATGGAAATGATGTTATCTGGGTATTATCTTTCCAGGCCCTTACTGTCCTGTTCAAAGAATTAGATGTAACAATTGATGAATGTGAAAGTTTAATGTCCGTTTGGGGCAAAATAAGAAAAAAAAGAACAAAAGAAGTACTCAGGAAGAAAAAGTATTCTTCAGAGTGAGGCAGGCAAGTTAAAACAGGAAGAGCACACCTCAGAGCACAGCAAGGTGGGCTGCTGCAAAAACTCACAGCAGCCAGGAGCTGATCTCACACTCAGTCTAAACCCTCCGTCAAACACACGCTTCTCCTCAGAAGATTAGTATCAGGTGTGGGGCTCAGCTTCCTCTTGTGAAAATTCCATGCCAGAAGAATTGAAGACCACATTCCCTGATTGTTATCTGTAGTGGTTTGCTAACTGGTGGTCCACTTAACTCCAGCTGAACTGAATCAGCATGATGCTGAACATGGATGGCCCACCTGAGGAAAGTTGCCAGCATAAAAAGGAGACCTGGAGAGGAAAAGTATTGTGGGTGCTCCTAAGAGGTGTTGTTCAGAGCCTTTGGTTCTTCTGGAGAAGCTTGTCATGCTGCTGGCTTCCCTGATATGAACTTGGCTGTTCTCACCAGAGGAGCTTGGGACCTTGTTGCTGAGAATGACTACAGTTCACTTTGGGGGAGCTGTGCTCCTTACTTTGAGCATCACTTCCTGGATCCAGTAGGTAAGATATATACTGTTTAATCTCCAGGAGAAGGTTTTCATGCTGGCTTCCTAATATGTACTCAGCTATTATCATTGGAGGAGCTTGGGACCTTACTGTATGGCTATGGTACTTTGGGGGGGGGGGGGGCCTAGGTCTTTCTTTTGAGCATCACTTCTTGGTGCCAGTACAGGACCCTCAACCTACTGGCACAGATCCATCACCCTGCTGGTATAGACTTTGTAGCTTCCACCACTGGCCTCTGTGCCTTCCCAGCAAGATCCATGAAATAGACTTGAATGAGTCATTGTGTGGGCTCTAGGTTTTCAGCTGAACTCACGCAGGTTATTGCATGGGATCCAGGCCCTCTGCTGGTTTTTCTAGATCTTTAGTATAAAGTAAATTACTGTATATAATTGTCCTCCTTGAAACCCACAACTACAACAGTATGAGATGCAGGGCTCAGAAGCTGCTCTGTGCGCTTCCTGAATCTCCATGGTTAACAAGCCTTCATGATTGATAGGTCACACTCAGTTTCCCCAGCCACTTTGTCATGCCCTAATCTCCTGCCTAAGTTCTCACAATTCTTTATGGGTTGATGAACAAGTGGAGATATCTATCCTACTATAGCTACTGGCTGCTGGAAATTATGCAGTCTCCATTTTAGGATGAGGTGAACCTGTCAGGAGCTGCTGGAGGCAAAAGTACATTAGATGGGCTACCAGTGCCTATCTACACGGTGATGAATTAGGGTCATCAGGGACCCTACTTATCTGCAGGCAGAACTGTCTTCTTGCCTTTTGACAAGAAGCTCTAAGTCTTCTAGAGATTCACAATAGTAGAATCTTAGTCTGGTGAAAATTCCAATGCACACTTCCCACGTGGTGTGCATAGCCACTGGCCACAGGCCTCGAGGGAGGCCACAGTGGGCCCTCAGGAACTGGAAACTGCAGTGCTGCCCTTCTTACTTCTCTAGCAGCCTTTTCATTTTCCAGAGAGGCTTTAGGCTTCTCTTTGGTGTCCAATTCCAGTAGTGATGGGAATGACTCCTTTAGGAGACTGTGTTCTTTCATTCAGTCCTTGTGTTAAAGCACGAAAAGATTCTCTGATGTTCTTAAATCACCTTGGAACAAGTGTTCGCAAATGCTTTGTTCACAAATCCAGTGCAAAGAATGACTAGGAACACAGGAGACAATGTCCGATGAGAAGCGGTCTGAACACTAGGGTACCAAGGTATCCAGGTTGATTCAGCTGTGTAGCATAGAAAAAACCTTAGGGACTATATAAATAAAGCAACAGAAGTTGATGGAGACTTCTGTGGTGACTATATTTGTTGATTTCTGATCACTCAAAGATTTGAAGAAGAGTTTTAAAGAAAAGATTGGTATATTACTTTTGAGACTTGAAGATGACATGGATTGTGGTTTGCGAGCATGGAAACTGCTAAGTGAATCATGCAGCCTCTCAGCTTGCTCAGTCTTATAAGTGAAACTCAAAGCTTTTTCTTTCAGAGAACTGTGGGACTCAGGTTAGAACCCATACTTGCTTCAAGACTCAGATAATTGCTTTGGGTTCCCACCCCTACTGCCTTCAATTGACAGGATGACCGTTTCCCAGGAAGCCTGGGAGTCATAGGAGGCCTCCACCTTGTCTCTTGTTTCCCATGTGACTAAGAGAGCACAGTACCTTCCACCTTCCTCTCTAGGAAGTTAGTGGAAAGCATTATGGAGAATCCCAAATTTAAGGGAGCCACTAGAAGCTTCTAGGAAGGGACTGGTGACTGCCAGAACTGCAAGCAGAGACATCTACTTAGTAAGTACTTGCAAATCACAAGGGTCATGAACTCACAGACCTGCCTCTTTCTTTAGGGGATGCCCTATGAAGGGCCTCAGACCTAGTTTCCCACTCCATAATAAACAGCCCAAAACACATGCTGCAGATCCCAGGGAACTTTCCCTGTAGGCCATGTCCTTCAACAGTGTGAAAGATTTGACCAGGCCATTCTGAGAAACAATAACATATCTACTATTGCAATATGCTTTGGGCACTTTGCAATATGAACTACTAAATGGTGAGATATGAGTAAAGGGTGGCATTTTAAATTAAAATACTATTTAGCAGTTAAATTGTTTATACAAAAATGTACAGAAAATAAAGTCTATTCAGGCTTTTGTGACTATCTCTGGAGAATCCTAGAAACTCTTGTTATTAAAGGCATGCTTCTGAGGCAGAGGAAGTTGATATTATGTATGGTACTGTCCTCAGATGCTCACCTGTCTCTCAGGGGGGGGATATAGGTTGCACCCACTTGTTTAATGAAAGCAACCACACTGGTGGAACCCTGAACAGCCTCCTCTAATTATCAGGTAGTAAACATTCAGTAATTCCACCAGACCCATATGACCCAATTGCTGAAACCAGCCTTTTCTGTGTTCAACAATCAAGATGTAGAAGATAAAAAAAGAAGGTTGAGGGAAAAGGCCAAAATTGGAGCTGTCATGATTGGCAAGGCTTTAAACATCCACAAGCCACATAAGGGAGTTGTGTTTTAAAGGGTTCCTGCTTTAAATGTAAAAGCACTGCGCACTGGGCAGCAACTTCACCAAGCTACACCTGGGCCCTGCTGCAGGTGTCAGATGGCAGTGCACCTGACTCGTGGCCCTGGAGCACTGACGTCCCCACTCCCAGAGAGGGTCTAGGCAGTCTTTTGTAGAGAGGTTGCTGTTCTGTTTTGAAACAGCCGTCTTACTGTCAGGTTGATCTGAAACTGGCGTGTAGCTAGTACGGATGCATGTTCCTTTAGAAAGCATCTAACGTTTACTAAACACTACAGTAATCATTTTTCTTTCACTACATGAGATCATGTGCCGATTTAATTTGTTTGTTTGTATGTTTGTTTTTAGGGGGAGAGTGGATAGGAAAGAAGGGAAAAGTAAACAAGTAAGAGAAGAAGGAAAGAATGGAAACAAAGTTTTTGTAAATGGGGAGAGGAAGAGGGGTGTCGGGAGTAAAGGGCAATTGGGAAAAAAGAACCAGGTTATATCATATACAGGTACAAAATCTCTGTGATGAATGTGATCATTATGTATATCTAAAATGTACCAATAAACCTGATTTTTAAAAAGATACATAAAATAATATGAGTTGCATACATGTATTCAGCTATCCTATGTACCAGCCTCCATGCTTAATTGTGAGATGCTATGCTGCCTTCTGTCAAAAACACATAAGGGAGTCACCCAGATTACGTATAAAGAGGAATTTTTCCCTCACGTAGCTCTTTCAGTGTTAGGGAAACCCAAAATTAAAATCACAGAACAACCAAAAGTTATCCTGTTTAGAAACCTGATCAAACATTAAAAGGGATTTTTTAGTTCAAAACATTAAGGTCATTGACAGATTTGGTCATCAGAAAATGAAAACTGTTACTGTATATGGTCAGAGTATCTTGGAAATAGTGCATATGTGGACTTCATTATATTCAAAACCAATATTAACTTTCCTCAAAAATGGCAGAGTGCTGTCAACTATTCAGCTTCTCCAGAAAAAAAAAATGCCAACAGTCTGGAGATAACAGCCCAAGTTAAAATCAAAGGGAGTCACATGGAATCTATCAGAAAACTGATAGGAGAACAAAACAGGATTAAGTCCTAAAGGAGAAACAGATCACTGCCAAGACCCGAGATCACGCAGTGTGGCTAGAGCAGCTATGTAGCTTACCTGGCAGGCAAGGAGTCAGCCAAAGCAATTGTGCCCCTCACTGGGAGACTGAGACCCGACCTAGACTAGGAGAGTCTTACGCAGTTGGAGGCCCCAGTGAGAACACGCAACATTGTCCTGAGCAGCCCACTCCAGTCATCAGTTAGTGATGAGCCAGAAGCTCCCCGCAGTTGTGAGAAGGAGTAGTAGATGCTGGGTGGGACTGTTATTTTATGTCAAAGTGCTCTGGAGGCCACCAAAAGCCAGTCTGAGCACTAGCAACAAAAGACTAGAAGCAGACCCTTGCCCTGGGACTGGCAGAATAAGCAGGAAAAAGGCTTTAGCTGGTGGTGGAACAAGGGCATCACCCCACCTGCCCTGTGACCAGTAACACAAGCAGGCAAATAGCCACGGCTGCCTGCAGCCAAGTGCACTCCACTCACCACATGGCCAACCCATGTAAGAGGAGTCAATGATGTGGCCAAGATCACCATTCCATTCAGCAGTAATCCTACTTCAGACTTGGAAGGCTCACTCGGTACAGATTCTGCTTCTGACTAGGGAACTGACACTGCAAGAAATTTTTTGAATCCTTTTTTCAATTTTTTTAATTGAGTAGGTTGGGTTGTTTAGGTTTGGATTTTTATTGTTTGTTTTATTATCTCTCTCCTGCCTCTCTCTTTCTTCAATAGTCTCTGTATTTTCTGATATTAACAGGTGAATGAACATCCAGGGGACAAAGAGACAGAGGAAATCAAATCATTCCACCTAAATTTATTGGAATGACAGTAGAAGAAATACATATATATGATATCAAAATAAATAATCTCACACATAAAAAGAGATGAGGACCATAAAGAAGGAGTTGCTCAGCAAATCTAGAATAGCCATAGATGTTTTTGAAAAATAGAGGAGCATAGGAAAATAATGGAAACCATGAATTCCTACTATAGTAAACAAATGGAATCCATGAACAGATTGAAATAGATATCTAGGAAATTAAACATTTTATTGAAATTTTGCAAAACTGAATGAAAGAAAATGAAGATAGAATATCAGACCTCAAAGACAGGATTGTAGTTAGCAATCACAAAAAGAAAGATCTCTTTAAAATAGAAAGGGACTATGAAAAAATAATCCAGGGGAGTCTGAGAAGATGGGAGAACAGTAAGCAGCAGAGTAAACAGCCTCTCTGAGAGAAACAGTCCAGATGCTGGAATACAGCATTCTGGAGAACATAAGAAGGGAAGAAGTGGGTCCCCTCCACCCAGGAAGAAACTAAATTGGGAACTGAAGCCCACTGAGAGAATTAAAAAAAGAAAGAAAAGAAAAACTTAAACAGAAGAAGGCGGTAGCTGGTGGCATTTTCACCAGAGCCGGAACCCCCATGCAGGAAGCACTGTTGGAAAACGGAGACACGTGGACACAGTGAAGCTGGTAGCTGGCAAGTCCAAAGGCCTTGGCAGGGAGAGGCAGTAGCAGAGGAGAGCAGCAGACCAGAGAACTGCAATGGCTGGAAGTGAGTGTGGGGGACCCTGTCCTCCCAAGGGAGTGGGGATTGGCCGGGACCATTTTGGAGTTGAGCAGGATAAGTCTGGAGACAGAACTGCAGCTGGCTTCATTAAGCCACTCCTAGCTTGGAGCAGACTGGTGGAAATTGCTTGGACTGAGTCCCCCCTCTCTGCATGGTCCAATAGCCACTGCCAAGGCTTCCCTAAAGCTATCCCTAACCAACCCCACCCACCCAGTGCACACTAAGGTGGTGAAGTCTCCCTGTGGTTAACCAGCTCAGAAGAGAGAGGCCAGCCTGCCCCATCCCTGCTTATACTCCAGTAGCCACCAGCAGACTGGGGAAAGCAGCAAACAGCAGAAATCCCTAGCCAATACACTTCAGAGTAATTATAACCAATACAGGAAGTTCCAGGGACCCCACCACCCACTTGTCCAGAAGAAACCAGGAACATGACAAGAGGAAGAAGCAAAAGGCAGTCTTTCGCCTCCAACCCAAGCAGTACTGGTCCAGGAGATATAAACATAGAAGAGATCAGGAGTTGCACACCTGCAGTTTTTGAAACAACAGCAACTGAAATAAACAAACAAATCCATGAAGCTATAAAAGAACTTAGAACAGAAATACTATTACAGGCAAAAGAAGATATGAGAAACATAATAAAAGAATTGCTAAGCACCTCTAAAGAAGATACAGATGAAAGAATAGAGGAGCATAGAAAAAGGATGGAAAGGGGCTGGGGATTTAGCTCAGCGGCATAAGCGCCTGCCTTGTAAGCAGGCAGTCGTGAGTTCGATCCCCGGTACCGATAAAAAGGAAAAAAGACCACAAAAAAGGATGGAAACCTTCAATGAAGACTATATAAAAATTTAGAACACATGAAACAGATTCAAAGAGATTACCAGGAAATTAAAAACTCCATTGAAAGCTGGCAAAACTGCTTGAAAGAAACTAAAGATAGACTATCAAACCTTGAAGACTGGTTTGCAGCTTGCAATCATGAAAAAGATCTCTTAAAAATAACAAGGAACCAGGAAGTAACAATACAAAGGCTAGAAGATGATAAGAGAATCTATAACTTAAGAATAAAAAAATGTGAGTGAAGAAGCAGGGGTAAACAAAAACGAAATAAAAAGGCTATTCACAGAAATAATTAAGGAAAACTTTCCAAGCATAGTAAAAGGAAATAATATTCAGATATATGAGGCATACAGAACTCCAGCCAGCTATACCAAAATAAATCTAAACCCAGACATATGATGGTCAAGATCCCAGAAATTCAACACAAGAGCAGAATATTAAAAGCTGTCAGAGAAAAGAAACAGATCACCTATAAAGGAAAACCCATCAAAAGCACAGCAGACATCTCAACACAAACCACCAAATTGAGACGAGCTGGGAGTGAAGTATTCCAAGCCCTGAAAGAAAATAACCTCCAACCCAGATTGATGTATCCTGAAAAATTGCCTCTCAAAATTAATGGAGAAACAAGATACTCCCATGACAAAGAGAAACTGGGGAGTTCATGACCACCAAACCAAGCCTACAAAAACTACTGAAGGACATTCTATACACAGAGAGAAAAGACCATGGTTTCAGGAACAGCAGCAGAGGGGGCTCACTGAATGGGACAGACAGTGGAAATAAAGGGGAAGGTACACAACCAACAGTAGAAAAATAACATGGCAGAGATGAGACAAAGAAGGTTGGCTATAACCACAAATTTGGATGGCCTCGATTAACCAATAAAAAGAAACACAGGCAGAGTGGATCAGGAGATAGGGCCTATCAATACACTCTATATAAGAAATACAATTAACCTGAGAGAGGGTTTATACACTGAAAGTCAAAGATGAGAAAACAATGCTCTGTGTGACAGGGAACCAGATAAAAGTGGAGGTGGCTTGACCATCGTCTGCAGATTGGTAAGAAAGCCATGACACTTTTATACAATTGAAAATTACTCAACTTTAAAGAAAAAAATCCTTGAGGCACTTGTAGATAAATGGATACAACTTGAGATCATGCTCAGGGGTAAAAGGTTCAGAATCACTTAGGTGAATAGCAGCTTGCCTCCCTAATCTAAAAAGTAAAGAAGTTAGTGGGATGCAAAATGCACAAGGCACCCTGTGAAAGTGAAAAGGGAGGAATTGTCTAAAAAGGGAAGGCAGAGGACATTGTTAATATTTTATCATGATTTGAAACCCATATTGTTTTCATCGTTCTGTTTATGTTTTTTTTTTTCTGTTCCAGTTTGTCTTCTTGTATTAGATTTGATGGCATGGACAGCTATTCCAAAGATAGCAGGATATATTATGGTAACCATTTTTTATTTTCTATCAACTTGATTTGAAGCCCTGTATTGCTTTCCCTGTCTTGTTTTGACTGATTTTATTCTATTCTGTTTTGTTTACTAGTATCAAGTCTGAGGGTGTAGGCAACTACTTTGAAGACAGTGAGAATCACTATGATACCCATTTTGGTTTAACTATTACCTTCTTTTGAAGTCTTGTAATGTCTCCAGTGTTTCATTTTTATTTATTTTGCTGTGTACTGTTTTGTTCAATTTTATTATACCTGATGCTATGGACAATTCTTTTGAAGATAACAAGAGGCATTATGGTAACCATTGCTGAACACCTTGTGTTTTAGTTTTACATCATGTACTATGTCCATCCTTTTTTTTTTACTTACTCTATTTGGTTTGACACATTTCATTTTATTCTCTTCAAAAAAAGTAATAAGAACTGCAGGAGTAAAAAAAACTCAAAATGTATCATTGTTATTGTAAAAAAGAGAGGAAAAGAAAGTGCTCTAAAGGATATAATTACATGTATGTTTAAGTGTGTAGGATTGATAACCATATTACTAAGTTTTTGTTGGATCGTTGGACAGAACTGTTTGCAGTCTCACTATTTGAATGTCCATTTTGCGTGCTTTAATTTTGCAACTTGAACAACTATTTCTAAGAAGACAATATGCAATTTATCAATTAGTGATTTCTTACTGTTTAATGTTTTTGAAATTCTATATCACTTCTACCCTTTTGTTATGTTTTGCTTTTTTTCTCTTTAAATGCAAAAAAAGAAAAAAGAATCCAACAACTGCAAGACAACGTGAAAAAGAACAACATAAAACTGTTGGAGCCAGTGAAAATGCAAGAGTCAACACAAACATCATTTTAAAAAAAAAAACCTGCTCAGAGGAGTAATGGCAGAAAACTTCCCAATATAGAAAAAGAATCTGACATTCAGATATGTGAGTCATACAGAACTGTAGTCAGTCATGACCAAAATACATCTACACCAAAGAATATAACAATCAAGATTACAGAAATTCAACACAAGAAGAAAATATTAAAAACTGTTAGGAAAAACATTACCAATAAAAGAAAGCTCATCAGAATCACAGGAGACTTCTCAATATGAATTCTTTAGTCTAGGAGAGATTGGAGTAAAATATTTCAATCCCTGAAAAAGAATTTCAACCCCCATCAATTATATTTCATAACTAATGGAGAAATAATATACTTCTGTAACAAAGAACCACTGAAGAAATTCAGGATTACAAAATCAGCTCTACAAGGGGTTCTGAAAGATATTCTAGGAAGAAATATCAAAGCCTACAATTCTAAGAGTGCCAATAGAAAGAAGCCACCAAGTAGAGGAAGCAATTAAACAGAGAGGAAAGAAGGGAACCTTCCACAGGAAAATTATATGACCCAGACATGGAAGTATATACCTACTATAATTATCAATGTAAATGGTCTCAATATTTCGATCAAAAGAAATCTACTGGGACTTCTTGGAGAACATGGTGGATAGATAACAGCAGCTACAGAGGCTCTCTAAGATTCCCCGCTTAGAATCCAGGAATGGTGCAGTGCGAGGAGTCCTAAGCAAGGGGAGATATACCCTGCCAACCCAGGAACGAACTAAGCCACGAGAAACCAACTGGAAATACAATCCCAGTACTATAACAGGAACAGATAAAATCTCAGCATGGAAGCTGGAACCCGTGCCTCTGGAAGCCACGATTTGAATTTCCTGCTGCTGCTGCTGCATCCAAATCAGCACGACAGGGAGAGAGACGCGCAAAAGGTCTGAGAGTGGGAATCAGCGAAGGGAGTTGAGAGTGGGACTGACAGGGAGCCCTGAATCGACCTGCGGTGAGTGAGCAGAATGGGGACCCTTACATAGAGTAGGATGCTCCAGCAAAGGACATTCTGGGACCAGGCAGACTAGCCGGAACAAGACACTGCAGTGACTTTAGTCGCATATTCCCCTCTCAAGCGGGATTGGTGGAGAGTGTTTGGCCTAGGTGATGCCGCTGACTAAGACCCAGTAGGCTAGCCCAAACCAGGCCCCAGTGCCTGCCGGTGCACCCTAGCAGTGAAGCCTTCAGTAGGTTGACCTGGAGGGGTAGGCCCAGCAGACACTGCCCAGGTCTCTGTCTCCCTAGTGCACTGCAGTGGGTGGGAACACCTGGCCAGTGGATTCAAACAAACTGTAACTGACAAAGAAAAAAATTGGGCCTCTTATATATGCTTGTATAGAAGGAACAAAAAGTATGGGAAGAGGGAGCAACAAGAAAGGGTCCTCAGTCCCCTATCCTGAGAACACTGATCTGGGAAAGGTAAATGCAAAGGAGAATGAGGACAGAAAACATGCAATATCAGACACGGCACCAATAGACATAAAGCAGTATCTCCGGAGCCTCATAGACTAGTTCAAAAGTGAAGTATTTAATGAAATAAAGCAAGATATAAGTAGAATAGTTAGAGAAATGCTAAGCACCGCCCAAGAAAAAACAGATGGTGGAATGGAAGAACAGAAAAAAAGGGGAGAATTGTTGGATGGAGAAAATAGAGAAAACATAGAATACATGAAGCAGGTTCAAAGAGATTACCAGGAAATTAAAACTCTATCGAAAGCTGGCATAACAGCTTGAAAGAAACTAAGGACAGATTATCTGAACTGGAGGACAGATTTGTAAGGTGGGAGCATGAAATGAAAAACTTCTTAAAAATAACAAGAAAGCAAGCAGCAATAATACAAAGGCTAGAAGATGATAAGAGGATCTATAACTTAAGAAATAAGAACATAAAAGAAGAAGTAGGGACACAACAAATGGACTACAAAAGCTATTCACAGAAATAATCCAGGAGAATTTCCCTAATTTAGCAAAAGGTAAAGATACTCAGATGTATGAGGCATACAGGACCCCAGCCACCTACAACCCAAACAGAGCTACACCCAGGCATATAATAATAAAAATTCCAGAAATCCAATATAAGAACAGAATATTATAAGCCATCAGAGACAAGAAACAGATCACTTACAAGGGAATACCCATCAGAATTACAGCAGACTTCTCGGCACAAACCATAAAATCACAAAGAACGTGGGGGAAATAATTCAAGCTTTTAAAGATAATAACCTCCAGCCAAGATTGATATATCCTGCACAACTTTCCCTAGAAATTGATGGAAAAACAAGGTGCTTCCAGGATAAAGAGGAACTAGGGGAATTTGCAACCACCACTTCAACTCTACAGAGAATACTGCAGGATATTCTGAAAAAGGAAAATACCAAGATTCCAGAAATGGCAGAGAGGCCACAATGAATGGAGCGGAAAGCGAAATGAAGAGGACAAACTGACAACTAATGACAGAAAAAGAGCTCAACAGAAATGAGGCAGAGAAGGTTGGATGGTAGGAACAGCTATTTTGGAGAAAACAAGACATCATAATAGCTAGTGCTGATTTAGTATCATCTTGTTTTAAAGTCCCATCAAGATTTTATTCTTCTGTCTCCATCGGTCTTAACAGGTTGTATCTTATTGGATTTTATTATATGTGATAATATAAACAAAAACTTTTATAGACAAGGAGATTATACAGGAACTATTGTTCATTTTCTGATAGTTGGTTCTAAATACCCTGTAATACTGTCATTCTCTTGAATGGTTTTACATTGTATTGATATGTTTGGTCCTACAGTATACGAAGTTATACTCAAAGATTTCAAGGAAAGAGGCACTATGGTAACTACTTTTATGTCAGGATATCTTGTGAAACATTATTTTGCCTAAATGGTTATGTTTTGACCTGTGCTGTTTTGTTGTTATGCCCTCTTTTATCTCAATCTCCTTTTCTTAATTATTTACTTTTTTATTTTTATCTTTAATTAAGGGAAAAATAAATAAAAAATAGCAGGATATATTATAGTAACCCACTTTGATTTTCTATTAAATTAAGTTGAAACACTGTATTACCTTCACCATTTTGTTTTGACTGATTTTCCCCTATTCTGCTTTGCTTGATAGTACCAAGTTCGAGAGTATAGGCAACAACTGTGAAGACAATAAGATTCATTATGACGCCCATTCTGGTTGACTATTATCTTCTTTTAAAGTCCTGTAATATCTACAATGTTGTTCAATTTTATTATAACTGATGACATAGGCAATTCTTTTTAAGATAATAAGAGGTATTATGGTAACCATTGTTGATCACCTTGTATTTTGTTTTTACATTATGTATTATGTCCATCCTTTTGATTTAACCGACTCTGTTCTGTTAAGTCACATTTGGTTTTATTCTCTTCAAAAAAAAGTAGTAAGAACTATGGGAGTAAGGAAAAAGAAAGTGCTCTAAAGGATATAACTGCATGTATATTTAAGTGTATAAGATAAAAAACCATATTACTGAGTTTTGTTGGATCATTGAACAGAACTGTTTGCAGTCTCATGTTTGAAAGTCCACTTTATATACTTTAGTTTTGTAACTTGAACAACTATTTCTAAGATAACAATATGTAATCTATTAGTGATTTCCTACTGTTTATTTTTTCTGAAATTCTGTATAACTTGTACCCTTTTTCTGTTTTTTTTTCTTTTTCTCCTTAAATAAAATATAAAAAAAAAAGAAATCTACTGGCAGAATGGATCACTAAACAAGTTTCAACATTGTGCTATATTCAAGAAACACATTTAAAAGAAATAAATAGAATGAAAGTCAAAGGATGAAAAACATTACTTAACACAATAGGAACCCAGAAAAAGGCAGGGGAAGCTATTCTGTTTGTGGACAATGTGCACTTCAAGCCAACACCAATCAGATAAAAAAAAAAGGCCACTACAGACTTGCTAAGGGAAAATTCCAAGAAAAAGAGGTAACAATCATAAATATATGGCTGCGACTTCTGGGAGAACATGGCGGACAGATAACAGCAACTACCGGAGGCTCTCTGAAAACTAGGCTCAGAAGCCAGGTATGGTGCGGACTAAAGAGACATAAGCAGGTGGAGTTATGCTCTGCTGACTCAGGAACGAACTCGGCTGAGAGAAACCAACTTGGAATGCAGTCCTGGTGCTAAAACAGGAACAGAAAAGCCTCGCTGCTGAGGCTGGACCCCGCGCCATTGGAAGCCATGATTTGGGTTTCCCGCTGCGTGGTGGCTGGCTGCCTCTACATCGGCTCGGCAAGGAGAGAGACGCGCGGAAACTCTGAGAACGGGAGTCTGCGAATGGAGTCAAAAACAGGACGGGCAGGGAGGCATGTTCTGACTTGTGGCGAGGTGAGTGAGAGAAACTGACACTCCACCACAGTTTGACTCCAGCGGACTTTCTGGGCCGGAGCAGTCCTGCGGGAGCAGGGCGCAGTGGCGACTCCAGCCACACATTCCCCTATCGGGCGGGATTGGTGAAAAGTGCCTGGCCTGCGTGACGCTGCCGGCGGACCCAGTAGGCTGGCCCAACCCAGATCCCAGAGCTTGACGGAGGCCGGGAGGGGTGGGCCCCACGTAGGCTGCCTGGTGTGCAGCGGTGAGTGGGAACACCTAACTGGCGCAATTCGATCAGGCTGTGGCTGACAGGGAGAGAAGCTGGGCCTCTCATATAAGCTTGCATATATAAGGAACAGAGAATATGGGAAGAGGCAGCAACAAGAAAGGCTCCTCGGCCCCCAATTCTGAGAAACAGGCAATAGCAGACACTGCACCATTACACATAAGGCGCCATATAGAGAGCCTCATAGACCAATTCAGGAATGAAGTTATCAATGACCTGAAGCTAGAAGTATGCAAAATAGTTAAAGAAATGCTAAGCACCACCCAAGAAAAAACAGATGGTGGAATGGAAGAACAGAAAAAGAGGGGAGAATCGTTTGATGGAGAAAACAGGGAAAGCATAGAATACGTGAAGCAGGTTCAAAGGGACTACCAAGAAACTCAGAAGTCTATCGAAGACTGGCATAACAGCTTGAAAGAAACTAAGGACAGACTATCTGAACTGGAGGGCAGACTTGTAATATGGGAGAATGAAATGAAAAACTTCTTAAAAATAACAAAGAAACAAACAGCAATAATACAAAGACAAGAAGATGATAAGAGGATCCATAACTTAAGGATTAAGAACATAAAAGAAGAAGTAGGGACACAAACAAATGAACTACAAAAGCTACTCACAGAAATAATCCAGGAGAATTTTCCTAATTTAGCAAAAGGTAAAGATACTCAGATGTATGAGGCATACAGGACCCCAGCTACCTACAACCCAAACAGAGCAACACCCAGGCATATAATAATAAAAATTCCAGAAATTCAATACAAAAACAGAATATTAAAAGCTGTCAGAGACAAGAAACAGACCACTTACAAGGGAGCACCCATCAGAATTACAGCAGATTTCTCTGCACAAACCATCAAATCACGAAGAGCGTGGGGGGAAATAATTCAAGCTTTGAAAGATAATAATCTCCAGCCAAGATTGAGATATCCTGCACAACTGTCCCTGGAAATTGATGGAAAAACAAGGTGCTTCCAGGATAAAGAGGAACTGGGGGAATTTGCAACCACCAATTCAACTCTACAGAGAGTATTGCAGGATATTCTAAAAAAAGAAAAATACAAAGAATCCAGAAATAATGGAGGCCACAACGAATGGAGCAGAGAACAAAGTGAAGAAGACAAACTGACAGCTACTGACAGAATAAGAGCTCAACAGAAATGAGGCAGAGAAGATTGGATGATAGGAACAGCTATTTTGGAGAAAATGACATCTTAATAGGTAATACTGATTTAGTATCATCTTGTTTTGAAGTCTCATCTAGCTTTTGTCCTTCTGTCTCCAATGGTCCAAATAGGTTGTATCTTACTGGATTTTATTATGTACGATAGTATAAGCAAAAACCTTTTAAAGACAAGGAGATTATACAGAAACCATTGTTTCTGTTAGTCAATTCTAAATACTCTGTAATGCTGTCATTCTCTTAAATGGTTTTACATTGTTTTGATATACTTAATGCTACAGTATACGAAGTTGTACTCAAGGATTTCAAGGAAAGAGATAATATGGTAACTACTTTTAGGTCAGGATTATCTGGTGGTGAAACACTATTCTGCTTAAATAGTTATGTTTTGATCTGTGCTGTTTCGTTGTTATGCCCTCTTTTGTCTCAATCTCCACTCCATTATTTACTTTTTTATTTTTATCCTTTTAATTAAAGGGAAAAAATAGCAGGATATATTATAGTAACCCACTTTGACTTTCCATTACCTCGATTTAAAGCCCTGTATTACTCTCACCATCTGGTTTTTAACTGATGTTCCCCTATTCTGTTTTGCTGGATAGTATCAGGTTCGAAAATTTAGGCATCAGCTGTGAAGATAATGAGATTCATTATAACGCCCATTCTCGTTGACTTTTATCTATTTTTGAAGACCTACAATGTCTCCAATGTTTTGGTTTTGTCGGTTTTATTCTTTACTGTTTTGTTCAATTGTATTGTAACTAACGATATAGGCAATTCTATTAGAGATAGCGGGAGGCATTATGGTAACCATTGTTGATCACCTTGTATTATGTTTTCACATTATCTATTGTGTCCACCCTTTTGACTTGACTGATTCTGTTCTGTTATGTCACATTTGGTTTTACTCTCTTCCAAAAAAGTAATAAGAACCGTGAGAGCAATGAAACCCAAAATGTGTAATAGTCATTGTACAAAAGAGAGGAAAAGAAAGTGCTCTATACTATATAACTGCATGTATATTTAAGTGTATAAGATAGAAAATGATATCACAGAGTTTTATTGGATCATTGAACAGAACTGTTTGCAGTATCATTGATGGAATGTCCACTTTACAAGCTTTAATTTTGTGACTTGAACAATTATTTCTAAGATGACAATATGTAATCCACTAATTAGTGATTTCCTACTGTTCATTTTTTTTTCTGCAAATCTGTATAACTTGTACCCTTTCTCTGCTTTTTTTTCTTTTCTCCTTAAATAAAATTTTTAAAAAAAGAAAAAAAATAAAATAAAATAAATATATGGCTGCACATACAGGGGTAGTAAAACTAATATTAATGAATAGGAAAAATCCGATAAGCACTAACACAATTGTAATGGGGAACCTTAATATCCTACTATCACAAATAGATAGCTCAACTACATAAAAAATCAACAATAAAATATCAAAACTGAACCAAACCTGTGAACACATTAACTTAGTAGATGTCTGCAGAATGTTCCACCCTACAGCATCAGAATACATATTCGTTTCAAAAGCATATAGAATGGTCTCCAAAATAGACCACTTATTAGTCCATAGAACATGCTTAAGTAATTGCAAGAGAATTAAAATTATCCCATGCATATTATCTGACCATAGTGCAAGGAAATTCTAAATCAATGACAAAAGAAACTGCAAAAACTCCATAAACACATGGAAATTAAATAATGCCCTTCTGAACAAGCAATGGGTCTCAGAAGAAATTAAATAGTATCCACAATTAAATGATAATTCCAGTACAACAACATACTGGAACTTACAGAACATGATGAAAGCAGTCCTATGATGGAAATTTATAGTGGTGAATTCTTACATCAGGAAAGTAAAATGAGCTCAAACAACCTAGCACTGAACCTCTAACTTCTCGAAAAAGAACAACAACTTAAGCCAAAGCCCATAGAAGAGGGAAATTATAATAATAACAGAAATTAATGCAACTGAATCCAAGAAAAAATTGCAAAGGTAAATGAACAGTTGAGTCTTTGAAAGATTAAATAAAACTGACAACCCATTAGCCAACATTATCAAAAAAAGAAAGAAAGAAAAGACTCAAATGCATACAATTAGCAATTAAAAGGATCAAATCAAACTGGACCCTCTAGAAATCAGATCATCAATACATACTTTGAAAAGCTTTAGTAAGACAGAAAATACAGATGAAATGGACAAATTCCTAGAGACATATGAGTTATCAAAGTTGAATCAAGATGACGTAAAAATTCTAAATAAGCCAATATCAGTCAATGAAATTGAAAACATAATTTAAAACCTGCAAACAAACAAAAGCCCAGGTTCTGACAGATTAACTGCTGAATTCTACAAGGAATTTAGAAAAGATCTAACGCTATTCCTTGTCAAACTGTTAAATGAAATTGAAAGGGAAACAACAGTCCCAAAGTATTTCCTGGAAGCAAGTATTACCCTCAATCCAAAACCAAAGTAAGATTCAATCAGAAAAGAGAACTGCAGGTTAATCTCTCTTAGGAACATAGATGTAAAGTTCCTCAATAAGAGATTCGCAGACAGAATGCAAATCAAGCAGTTTATATGCCATAGCCAAGCAGGATTCAGTTCAAGGGTATGAGGATGGCTCAACATATGCAAATCAATAAAAGTAACACACTTTCTGTTGCAAGGATCCTAACTATTGGGCCAGTCAGCCTAATACTCTCCAGTAACACAGCCATTGCGGGGTACATCTGGCAAAAAACAGGATGAGAATGAAATACTGTATCTCTGGGACACCGATTTTCCAGGGTCCACAGGAGCACCCTTCGGGTGGTTGGGTCTCTTGGGCTCCCTAAAGAGCAAAGCTGAACTCATGATCATCTCTCACTGTGTCCATCCCAGTAATCAGCAAAGAGCAAGCTTTGAAGTACTGGGAACAGATTTCTCGTGGGCCAAGAAAAGTACCCTCTTTTTTCACAGCCAGTGCAAGTAAGACAAGCTTCAGGAAGAACCAGTCAAGCAACCTACTGAGGCAGCTCTGCCAGGAGGTTGTGAGAAGGCCAACAGGCCTGGGCTTCTGCATCTTCCAGAAGCTCTCTGGAATAAGAGGAAGAGCTAGTACACAGCTCTGTGGGACGACAGGAGACAGGAAAGAATCAGAGAAGGCTGCATGGCACTGCCAGCGGCATGTCCTGGGTCTTACCCTTCAAGACCTTGTTGACCCACTGGATCGCAGCTCTCTTCTCTAAGTCGATGTCTTCAGCTGTCACCTGACAGACAAGCTGGGGAGGGGGCGGTAGGATCACTGGGTCCTTTCTTCTACAGGACAGCAGAAGAGTCTTTCGTTTGGGGGGCCTTGAAAGATCAGATGGGTTTGAGCAAGCCCTCAGGTTTTGTTGGCAGCTCGACTGAGTGGCTGTGACCTTTTCGGGCTGGCTTTCTCTCTGGGGTACGACTGAGGCGGAAGAGCTAACCTGATGGCCTTCCTCACTGGCTTTCTTTGCAGGCACCAGAAGGTGGGATGAGCCTGCCTGGGGGCGCCTGGCAGGGCCTACACCATTTCTCTTGGGCAGTAGGGGCAAACCCTGGGTAGAACTGTAGGAACTGGTGATGGCATTGCGCTTGCTGCATGAGCTCAGGAAGCTGCTCTGGGATTTCGTCATCAGACTCTTCACCGAGCTCCCATAACAGAAATCTCTCTTCAGAGGCCCAGGCCTGGGCAGGAAGGAGGAGAGCACTCCGTTGACCACCAGGCGCCTAAATGCAGACTGGGTGTTCTCGCAGCTATCAGAACAGCTTTTTGCATCCTCCTGCCATTCGGGGGCAGCGTTGCTCTCCTTCTGCCTGGTAAACCCTTCTCCACCGTCTCCCACAGAGGCCAGGTCTTTCTTTTCCTTGCCTCTCTCTAGACTGCTTTCTCCAAAGGCTGTCAGCTGGGACTGCTTCGCTTTTGGGATTGAGAAAAGGCCGGTCCGTGAAGGCCACTGAGCCAAGGCCGACGACTCCAGAGCCAAAAAGAGCCTAAGTTTACCTCTGGCAGATGCCAGGCTCAGGACAGCGGCCGGGCAGGGCATCCTGGAGCTAGAAACCGACAGCGCTGGCTTCTGATGGCTGCTCGAGGGCGCGGGGGCGAAGACCCCCAGAAACAAGCACCTGGCCTTCTGGACGGGGCCGCGCTGCCTGTGGACGACGATGAGCCGCCGCCGGTGCTGCCGACGCCAGGGGGAAGCCACGGGGTGCTCATGGGACAGCCTCCGAGGGGGGCCCGGCGGGAGGGCCCCCGCGGGAGCCCGCGCAGGGGAGGGGAGCTGGCCGGCGGGGCGCGGCAAGGCGAGGCTCGGCAGGCTCTGCGGCCTCTCCCGCTGGTCCTGGCCCGGCCCGGGGCGAGTCCAGAGGCCAGCGCGAACCCGGCTCAGGTAACTGCCCATGAAGGGCAGCTCTGCAGGTCCGGATCTGCACGGCGGGTCAGCGGCCCGGAGGAGTTTCCGTTGGCCGCCGGAGGAGGCCACTGCGGAGCTCGCTCGCGGCGGAGAGCGCGCGCTGGAGCGCGAGGACCGGGGCGCGGGGCGCGGGGCGCGGGGCGGAGAGGCGCACCCGGGTCGGGGCAGCTCACCCGGCCCACGAGCTGGAAGGGACCGCTCCTCGCGGGAGTCAGCGGCCGCCCAGGTCCGCCTGAGACCGGCTGGGGGTCGGGGAGGACACTGGAGGGAGGCCTGCACCCCTCCCTGCGGGAGCTGCGGCCAGGAGCGCAGGCGGGGTCCTGCCCGGGGCCTCGGTGCGCTCGGGAGACACGCAAAAGGCTTCTGCGCTTCAGGAGTCCGACTTGAAACGGTTTCAACAATATTGATATCTTAGCCTCTCGATTTTATTTATTTATTTAGGTATCAGCCTGCTGTGCTTCAAACTCTTGTCTACAATGAAGTCTATTAAACTCATTAAATGAACAAATGACTCAAATTTTTCTTATTGACACATTAAATTTTTCTTGCAGACGCGTCTTTTTTAGTTTAATTAAATTTATTGGTACCACAGGTGTATACAATGATCATATTCATCATAGGATTTTGTGCTGGTACAAAGTATAACTTGGTTTGTCTTGTCTTCCCGCCCACTCCCCTGCCAGCCCTTGAGCCCTGGGCCCCTCCCTTATTCACAAAGCTTTGTTTCCATTTTACCCTTCTTTCCTCGTTTTTCCTTTTTCTCTTCTTTCCTGTCCCCTCCCTTCCCGAGTTCCCCTTTCGTTTTGAATATTTTTTTTCCATTTCACCATATCTAACAATTTAGTTCTTATTTATACTTTGATCTTCTCACACCAGTAAGACAACGTGTGTCCAATTTATTTCACTTAAGAGTATAGTCTCAGGGTCCATCATTTAGCAACAACTGTCTCAAGTTTATCCTTTATGGCAGATAGTACAACATTATGTGTTTTTTACAAAAACTACGTCCTTTTTTATCCATTCATCGGATGATGGAAATTTGGGCTGCTTCCAAGATTTAGCTATTAGAAAATGTGCCTCACTAAACATGGGCGCACCTGTATCGCTGTGGTGTGATGCTTTTGAATCTTCGGGCAAAATACCAAGTAGAGGAACAGCTGGGTCAAATTAGACCTCTAGCTCTAGGTTTTTGGGGTCTTTTTAGGAATTTCCACACTGATTTCCACAGTAGTTGCACAAGTCTACACTTACACCAATAGTAGAGAAATGTTCCCTTTTCCTCACAGCCCCATCAACACTTGTTATTGCTCAATATTTTGATAATAGCCATTCTTTCTGCAGTGAGATGGAAGATCAGTGTTGCTTTAATTTGCATCTATTGAATGATCAGTGACGTTGAACATTTTTACATATATTTATTTGCCATTGTACTTCATCTGTGACGTTCGTATTCATTTCAGATGCCCATTTTTGGGTTGATTCTTTGAATTTAGGGGATCTGATGTTTTTCAATTATTTATGTACTCTAGATATTAGTCCTATGTCTGAGGAGCAACTGGCTTAAACTTTTTTCTACTGTGGGTTGTCTTTTCACGCTATTGGTGATTTCTTTTGTTGTGCAAAAGCTTTTTAATAATATGAGGTTCAGGTTATAGATTCTTTATAATATTTTCCATGGAATCTGGGTTTTGTTCATGAAATCTCTGCCTACACCTATGTCTTTAGGAGTTTTACCTATTTTCTCTTCCAGCAGATTAGTGTTTTGTTTTCTGTTTGGCTTTTGTTTGGTTGGGCTTTTTTGCAGACTTTTTTTTTATATTAAGGAAAAAAAACAGAAAAATCAAAAAGCAAGCAAACAAAAAAGCAAAATGATAACAAAAAATGGTGATATAAGATTTCAAAACAAGATGATAGGAAATTAACAATGGTTGTTATATTATATATTGCTATCCTCAAAGTAAATGACCAGACTATGAGACATAGGAATGTAAGACTGATCAAACAGGGGCACACAGCAGCTGCCCCGCCTGGAGGAGGGAGCTGGGCCTAGCCGCAGGCACCTGCTTCCCACCTTGGCTGCGACCTTCTTTCGGCCTGGAGAGCACCAGCACTACTGCCACGACCTGGAGGAGGGAACAGCCCTGCTGAGGAGGTTTGAGGCCTACCTAGGTCATAGGGGGAACTTCTACCAGCCCGGGGAGCTTTGCCATCCAAGGAGCTGGATGGTTACACAACATCCAATCCCCAGGAGAGTATGAGATCCTTGTTGTAGGGGGTTGGGGATCATCTGGGCTTTTGACCACACTAGACTGGATTTAGCGTGATTTGGGCCTGCCTGGACCACTCCGGCTGGCCTTCTTTCCATCAGGGGAGCTTTGCTACCAAAGTGGGGAGCTGTGCAGCTTGAGGAGGCTTTAGACCTACCTAAGAGGAGCCTGGCAACCTTCTTTTAATCCAGAGGGCCTCGCTGCCCAAGGAGGGAGATATGCTACTGGAGGAGTCCCAGGAGCCCAGGACATGGGAGACAATTTACAATGCACCCAAGGGGAAGCTTTGGCACAACACTTGAAACACAGAAATATAGGAAAATGACAAAACGAAAGACCAAAATGCAATCTCAAACCTCCAGCCCATCCCAAGAAAATGTAGGAGCCATGTACATAGAAGAAAATACATACCATATGCCTGAAATACCTGAAATAATAGTAACTGAAATAAAGAAGCAATTCCGTGAAGCTTTAAAGGAATTCAAACTAGAAATAATCTCCCAGGTAAAAGAAGAAATGATAGAAAAAAATGAATGAGATGCTGACCATATCTAAAGAAGACACAGTTAAAAATTTGGAGGAACTAAACAAAAAGATAGAATCCCTGGATGAGCAATATAAGAAACAAACAGAATACATAGAGCAGATGCAAAGAGATATACAGGAAATCAAAAATTCCACTGAGAGTTATAAAAACCACCTCAATGAAAGTGAAGATAGAATTTCAGACCTCGAACACAAGATTGCAGCCAGTGAACAGGAAAGGAAAGATCTTTTAAAAATAACAAGAAATAACAATTCAACAACTGCAAGATGATGCAAAGAAAAACAACATAAGATTGATAGGGATAAATGAAAAAGAAGGGGACAAGATAAAGCATGTCAAGGGGTATTTAGAGAAGTAATAGCTGAAAATTTCACAAACATGAGATTGGAAACTGACATCAGGATCAATGAAGCATATAGAACTCCAAACAGTCATAACCAAAATAAAACTACACCCAGACATATAATAATCACCATCCCAGAAATCCAACAAAAGAATAAAATATTAAAAGCTGTCAGAGAGAAAAGACAGATCACTTATAAAGGAAAACCTATCAGAATTACAGCAGACTTCTCAGCACAAACAATAAAGTCAAGAAGAGCATGGAGTGAAGTATTTCAGATCCTAAAGGAAAATGATTTCCAACCTAGGCTGATGTACCCTGCAAAACTGTCCTTCAAAATCGATGGAGAAATAAGATACTTCAAAGAATAGCTGAAGAACTTCATGATCACCAAACCACCCTGCAAAGAATACTGAAAGACAGTTTAGATACACTTAAAAAAAAACCACTAAACAAAGCAGACAATTAAACAGAACAGAAAGATAAAGAAGCAACTACAGAAAGATAACATGTAAATAATAAACCAACATATAACAGTTATAACCATTAATATAAATGCTCTCAATGCACCAATTAAAAGAAACTGGCAGAATGGATAGAAACAAAATCCAACCATATGCTGTCTACAAGAAATCCATCTAACCCAAAAGGATACTCACAGACTAAAAGTCAAAGGATGGAAAACAATACTTCATGCAAGAGGAGCTCAAAAAAAATGGGGGTAGCTATTCTGTTTGCAGACAATGTAAACTTCAAACCAATAATGATCAGAAGACATAAAGAAGGTCATTACATACTGGTTAGGGGAAAACTTCAAAAGGAAGAGATAACTATCTTAAATATATATGCACCAAATTCCAGAGCATCCAGTTATATAAAACAAATATTAACAGAAATGAAAAACCAAATTAGCAGTAGCACAATTCTAACAGGAGATCTTAACACACCATTGACACCAAGGAGAAGATCAACCAGACAGAAAATTAGCAAAGAAATAACAGAACTGAATCACACCTGTGAACAAGTGGACTTGATAGACATATACAGAGTGTTCCATTCTGTTGAATACATAACAACAGAATACATATTCTTCTCAGCAGTACATGGGTAATTCTCTAAAATAGACCTTACATTAACTCACAGAAAATATTTAAATAAATGAAAAAGAGTTGAAATTATACCTTGCATGTTATCAGATCATAGCGCTATGAAATTAGAAATTAATGATAAAAGATACTGCAAAAATCCCACAAATACATGGAAACTGAATAACACACTCTTGAGTAATCAGTGGGTCACAGAGGAAATTAAGTAATTAAACAATATCTACAAGCAAACGAAAATAAAAATACAACTTACGGGAATCTGTGGGATGCAATGAAAGCCATCCTCAGAGAAAAATTTATTGCACTGAGTTCCCACATCAGGAAAACAGAATGAATACAAATAAGTAACCTGATGTTACACTTCAAACATCTAGAGAAAGAAGAGCAAGTCAAGCCCAAAGCCAAAAGAAGAGAGGAAATTAAAAGAGTCAGATCAGAAATCAATGCAATAGAGACTAAGAAAACCTCCAAAGAATCAATGAATCAAAGAGTTGGCTCTTTAAAAGAATAAATAAAATCAATAAGCCCCTAGCCAACCTTTTCAAAAAAGGAAAGAAAAAGCTCAAATTCATGCAATAAGGAATGAAAAAGGCAAAATCACTACAGACTCTATAGAAATACAGAAGATCATCAACACCTATTTTGAAAACCTCTACTCTCAAAGATTTGATAACACAGAAGAAATAGATTCCTAGAAGCATATGAAGTACCAAAGCTAGATCAAGAGGATGTAAAACTGCTGAATAACCTAATTTCTATTAATGAAATTAAGTCCTTACCTACAAAGAAGAGCCTAGGCCCAGACGGATTCACTGAAGAATTCTACAAGAAATACAAAGAAGATTTAATGTCGACACTCCTCAAACTCTTCAGTGAAATTGAAAGGGAAGCAATCCTTCCTAAGTCATTCCTGGAAGCAAATATTACTCTAATACCAAAACCTGAGAAAGACCCAACTAAAAAAAAGAACTACAGACCAGTCTCCCTAATGAACACAGATGCAAACATCCTCAATAAAATATTGGCAAATAGGTTGCAGCAAAGCATCAAGAAGATCATACACCCCGACCAAGTGGGATTCATCCCAGGCATGCAGGGATGGTTCAACATACGGAAATCAATAA